CGAAGAATGGCTGCAGGACTTGGGTTTGGCTAGTCTAAAGAAAAGAAGAAATAGGGGAGACATGATAGCAGTATTCCAGTATTTGAGGGGTTGCCACAAAGAAGAGGGGGTCACGTTATTCACCAAAGCACCAGAGACAGGACAAGAAACAATGGTTGGAAACCGATGAAAGAGAAAACCACCTGGAATTAAGGAGAAACTTCCTGACAATGAGGACAATTAACGAGTGGAACAGCATGCCTCCAGAAATCGTGGGCGCTCCATCACTGGAGATTTTTTTTAAAAAGGCTAGACAGCCACTTATCTGAGATGGTATAGGTACTCCTGCTTGAGCAGGGGGTGGACTAGAAGGCCTCCAAGGTCTCTTCCAGATTCTATTCTGTTCTGTTCTGTTCCTTGGCCAGGTTGCTCATGGTGGATGCAGGAGGGCAAAGTGCGTGGGTCAGAGGGAGGCCCACTTCCTCTCCATGTGAGGAGACCCAGCTTTGTAACCAAAGCATCCTTAGCGATAGGATGGGAGATCAGGAGGATAGACCAGGAGGAGGGGGCAAGGAGATGGCGAAAGGGCAACAAGGCTGCAGGTGGCCAAGTGCTAAGGCAGGACTTCTCTCAGACCCCCTCCCTCTCATTCCAATCTCCTTCCTTCCTTCCCTCCCTCCCTCCCTCCCTCTCATTGTCCCATCCTTCCTTCTTTCTCTCCCATTGTTCCTTACTTCCTTCCCTCCCTCTCTCCTATTGTCCCTTCCTTCCTTCCTTCCTTCTTTCCCTTCCTCCTTCCCTCTCATTGTCTCTTCTTTCCTCCTTTCCCTCCTTCCCTGTCTCGCGTTCTCATTCTCATCTCATTCCTTCCTTTCTCCCTCAGTGCCCAGGAAGGACAATGGGAGGGGGAGAGACTGTCACTTAAATTCCTGGTCAAGAGCCATACAACCTTAAGAGCAGAATGGCAGGAAGATATTTACGATGAGGGAGGGAGAAAACAGAGCAGAGTTGGCGGTGAGCGCCTGGCGTCCCGGTTAAAAGGGAAGTGCTCAGAACCTGGTCAGCCTGCGGGGCAAAACAGTCACCTGGGACATCAAGTGCCATGCACTCACCACCTCCTACATGCACACCCAGGCAGGTTTGGCTTCTTGCCACTTCACCTCACCTGGCCCAGCCTCTCCACGCAGTGAGGAGAGCGCAATGCTGCCTGCTGAAATCGAGTAGGCTGGAGACTGGGCAGTGTACTGCAAGTAACATGAACTGTCATGCCACTCGCGGCGTCCCCTCCCCTGGAGTCCATGGGTGTGTCAAGTGGGCAAGTGCCACTTGCTGGACTTCTTGAGGGGATGCTGCCTTTCTTCATTCAGTTAAAAACTGAATAAAATTCTTAACATGCAGCCTAATTTGTTAAATGTAGAGAACAAAAATTTACTTTATGTTTTCTATTTTTCTGTTCACCCAATTTAAGCATTGATTTAATTATAAGCCAGAACATTATATTACTAATTTACATTCAGCTGACAATTTATCCAAACATCTGCATCTTTACAACTTCTGATAGCTTATCAGTTTCCTATATAGTATAATCATGATGGTTTTCCTATATACTATAATCATGATGATGATGTTGAAGTTTTAAACTGAAGTTTTAAATTTAGGGTTTGAGCTTGCAGAACTATTTTTGTCATTTTCAGTATTAACTAACCCTTCCATTTGTATGGTTTCAGATTTGATAAATACCCATATCTTTTCATCAAAATCTCTCTTAAGATTGAACCACTGTCAGTAATGATTCCTTGTGGATTTAGCTGTTTAATTAGCTATGAATCCATCTAATGGTAATGTCCTCCAACCCTTTTGTCCCTACCTAATCAGCAAGAGTACATTAGGAAATCTCAGAATCAATGTGCTTTGCATTCCAAATATTCACTGCACTAGCTGCTGTAAGCTTGATGAACCCATGCTTGCTCTTATTAATAGATTTAGTGTATACTGAAACCAAACTTTTCCTGACATTAACATCACTTTGATTAGACTGCAGATTTCTGGATATGTTTCTTTGGGAACATTGGCCTATCTCTAATGTCATCCAAATCATTCAAAACTCATGAAGGCATTCAGGGACACTGTTCCTCAGATCGCTGGGTGTGAGACCATATTTGTTAAGTTGAGCTCTAACTCTGCCTGAGCTTCTTGACTCTACGACAAATTTGGCAGTGGAATCCTATGGTTTTGGGAGACCTCAATTTGCCTTTCCTGGGTATTGGGGCAGAGGTATCTCAGGAGTTCATGGCCACCATGACAGTCATGGGCTTGACTTAAGTAACCCAGGGCCCGATGCAAAAACCTGACCTGATTTTTCTGTTGGAACACTAGCAGAACGTGAAATTGGGTGAGATACTGGTTTCTCCCCATCATGGTCAGTATTTGCCTGGTAAAACTATAGTTCTGTGGTGCTGCCCCACTCTACAGGGAGACTGAGCCTAATAGATTGGACTACCCCCAATGACTGATGGGACCAGAGGAAGCTTGGTGTTGTTCCAGAAAGTCTGCTACATGGTCTGGCTAAACCTTGGTAGGTAGCTGTAATGGGAGAATGGCTGCATCTTGGTACTGGATTGTGTCTGAAGCTTTGGTGGCTTCGTTGGTGGCCAATATATTTCTAGGTGCGATTAATAGTGCTGGTTCTCACCTTTAAAACCTTTCATGACTTGGGACCAGTTATCTGAGAGACCATTTTCTGCCAGTTCTTCCTACCCATTCAATCTGGTCTGGCAGAATGGGCATGTTCTGGGTCCCGTCGGCCAAGAATGCTGGTTGGTGGAGATCAGGAGGCATGCTTTTTCTATTTGAAGGGCCAGGGGTTCCAAGTGTTTGAAGGGGCCCATTCCTTGGTTATGTTGACAGTGATGGATTATAATATCTCATGGCTGCTATTTATAATTAATTTATTTTTGTATTGTGCTTTAACTGTTATAATTATTTTTATTTTTTGTTCACCGTCCACACTCACTGCTTTGAGAAAGGTGTCTATGCTAACTGAATAAGAAAATAAACAAGCAAATTTTCAGAATTATGTGATATAATTCATTTATCATGAGAGACCCGAATCCTTTACGAGTAGTTTTTGAGTTACACCCATAATGGAGCCTTCCCATCACAATTGTAATTCATGATGGCTGTATAGTGAATCAGTTATGTGATTGGCCTGATTTTATGGCCTTTTTTGAGTAGTAATTAAATGAATTACTGTCATTAAGTGAATTTGTTGTTCTTAAATGAATTCCAGGGTCTTTAAGTGAACAATGGTTTCCTCTCGGCATGGATATTCTCAGTCATCCAGGTCATGGTTGTAACAAAAGTGCTTTTTTAAGATACAACTGGACTTTTTTGGTTTTTCTTTGAAGATGTTTCACTTCTCATCCAAGAAGCGAAAAAGCACCTTTGGGAGGTCTTGTTCCTTACATTTTTCAATTTCTGCTCTTTCATGTTTTTAAATTACTCACATCTGCTCTTAATTTTTTTTATTTTGTCCTTTGGTCTGATCTTCTACTTTAGGGTTGAATAAGTTTTGCTTTTGGTTTTCTAATTGTGATACCAAGTTCTTCTGTAAACATCATTGTAGTACTGTAGACAAGCTAATTGGTCTATTTGATAGATATTGTTTTAATCTTTGGAAACATCTTATTGATATCCTTTATTATAGAGGCAAGGTCTTTTTTATATACCAGAATCATAGCTTTTTTATTTACCACCAGTATAACTCTTAACATCATTCTATTTCTCTGTCTTTTTTTTGGTTGACTTAAAGTGATGAATATACTTAATATTTCTTTCTCCTATTTCCCCCACAATAACAACCCTGTGAGATGTGTTGAGCTGAGAGAGAGTGACTGATCCAAAGTCACCCAGATGATTTTCATGGTTGTTATTTTGGGGAAATGTAGGAGGAATGTATGTGCTCATGTAACATAATTCTAATGAAGAAATAAATAACTATCAACAATAACAAAAACATTTGATATAAAGGTGTTTTACAATTTTAGTTTTTTAAAATATATTTTAAATACTTGATTATTACCCAGTGGTAATGAAATTGCTTCTCTAGTAAAAATAACATGGCTTTGTTCCATAGTTCATTATTTTTAGTAGGTTAAAGACTGTGCTTCAAGACAGTTTAAAATACAGATACTGCAACTCCTACTAGCTTAATTTCTACACCCTCTGTTACATATTAAGGACTACTCTCGAAAAACAAAAATTCATTTCTTTTATTTGAATGAGCGAGCTAGATATTTTTTAAAGCATTTTTATTTTTACATTTGTAATTAATCAAATTGCAAAAAATGAAGTCCCATTTTTCTTATTTCTGTACAGTATTTAGTAATTTCTGCTATTTAAAAAATAGGAAAGTGGCCTGGGAAGCTATAAATGGAAAAATCAGAGTCAGTTGGGGATTGGTTGTAGGTAAAAAAAAAATGGTTAAGGAATCCCCAAAAAGGAGAGGGTAAGGGAATATGTATTGGGCAGAATGAATGGAAAGAGCAGCTGTCAGGCTATAAAGCTGAGAATGAAAAATTAATATCTGTACACCTATGGTAAGTAGTGCAGAATATGGTATCTGGGATTGATGTTGAGATAAGAGGGGATTGGGGGCTGCATGTGCTGCCACTGATCTAGAATACTCATATATCCCATTGTAGTTCAACAAAACAACAACAACAAAATCTTCCAGGGCTGTAGATATCTTTAATAAAATTATCAACATAAATGTATCTCAAAAGATAAATTTGATTTATTAAAATATGATCTTTTCAAATATCATTGTTGTTTCTGAACTTTCACTGAAGTAAGTTTGGTCCTTAATATTCACAACATCATAAAATTTTTACTTTAAGACTTATTTCTGGCAAACATATACTCTGAATGAAAAGTAATAAATCAACTTAATTAATGTCAGTTTTGATAGCATCATATAAAGTCTACAATCTTTTGTTCTGAATTTTATATTATCATTTTAGGCCACAGAAAGTGAAGCTGGTGACATGGACCTGAGTGGATTACCAGAAACAGCAGTAGATTCTGAGGATGATGATGATGAAGAAGATATTGAGAGGGCTTCTGATCCTTTGATGAGCAGAGATATTGTTAGAGACTGTCTAGAAAAAGATCCAGTAGACAGGACAGATGATGATATTGGTAAGCTACCATTGACATAAAAAAAGGAAAAGAAAATTTTTGTCTTGAGTGGCATTTAAGAACTTTTGATTAGGTATTTTCAGAATTTAACTGAATGAAATTATTTCCATGAATCAAAATAGAATTAGCAAAATAAAATTCTAAATGTCAGAGATGGACATGTTGTGTATATAATGATTAAGCCTATTAGCTTTCCATTTGTCTCCATTTCTATCGCATTTCATTTTTACTGAAAATATTTAAGGATTCGTATTTTTTGCTTAAGAAATTTTTAATGATAGGAGTAGAGCTTGAAATACACTAGAATTTTAATCTAAGCATTTAACTTTAGTATCTTTGTGTATGTAAGTGTATACATGTATAAAATTACATACATATATAAAATTAAAAAGGAAGATAAACAAGTGAAAACTAAAAACTAATACAAAGAAAAGAAAAAATCAATAAGAAAGCTTAGTGTGCAAGAAATATAAAAATAGAAAATGGAATAGAAAGAAAAATGGTACATAGACGTGACTTCCAATCTTCTTCACAGCAGTTATAAGTACAATTATAAATGTATTTCTTTTTCTGTGGTTACAATGTGATGCCTTCTTTCTGTAATCTTTGTGTTTAATCAAAATCATAAATCATAAGTTCATTTTTCCTTTTTTATGAAAAAAAATTCATAAGAGGTTTTCAGTGAGCAATAAAATTATTTTCTCTCATAAAGAAGTCAATTTAGCCATCTTGGCAAATTCCAACTTCTTCACCAGCCATTCCTCCATTGTGAGTCATGCTGAAACTTTTTATCTTTGTGCATACAACAATCTAGCTGCAGTTACGATATTAAAAAACAAAATTTCATGACTTTTTCCCATCAACTTCAAAAGAAAAAGCCTATGGATTTTAATTGTATACTAATTTTTAAAACTATCTGAATCAGCACACCTGTTTGAATCCAAAATTTTCTAGCTTTCTTACACATCTACCAAACATGATAAAATATCATTATTATTTGCATTTCTAACTTTGGGGTGACTTTGTACCTTCTAAACCAGGGGTGTCAAACTGCCGGCCCATGGGCCAGACGTGTCACATGGAAGCCACGCCCACCCCATTGCCGGCAATGGCAAGACCGGCCCAATACGTTGCACGACGTCATGTGATGTCGCAAGTTTGACATGCCTGTTCTAGACAATTTCCCTGATGATATACAGTATGCCAATAGTACATCATTCTATATTTTTTAAAGATTATAACATAGTGTAAATTTGAATCGTTTCAACAATATATTTTTCCATTGTCCCACCTGTATATTATAACCGAAAATTTTAAGCATATATTATCATATATTATTTCACCTGTTTTTTTTATTTTAAACTTTCAATTAAAAAATGTACATTTTAGCAATTACATGTTTCACACTCAGTCTTACAACATTCAAAACCATAAATCCTTTTATCTACTTCAAATTAGAAATAACCGTAAGAAAAATTTTGACAACTCTATCAATCTGCCACCAGTTCTGTTGATTCTCAAAGAAATACTAGAATTTTGTTAATAGGAATGTAAATTCATTTGTGTTTGCTTGTTAACTTATCTATAAAATGCTTCTTATTCTGAAAGCCACACCTGGATTTGTATCTATTCCATATTCTCAGTATGGCACTCTAACAAAATGATTTTTAAAATCCACATTAACGTTGACTTTGTCGTACCACAAACATCTATGCCACTCAAATCTCAGGTTGTTTCCTTTTAACTGCAAGAGCCTTATATTTGTAACCAGCATGCACTTCACTCTCTGTTTGAAACCAAACAAGCTACAAAATACAGCTCCAAATCAGGTAGACCCAAGCCTCCTCTTTCTTTTGCAATTTGTAATACCTTATATTTAATTCTTTGTTGATAAATTTAACACACAAATAGTTTGTTGCAGAAGCGACTGCCTGTGAAGGCTCCTAGATTGGGGCTGAAAGGCAAAATCAGAAGCAGTATGCTCTGTTCCATATTTGGGGTAGACCAGGTTGCCCTCATAGACCAGTCTCACCGGAAAACATTTTGTCCCTCTTTAGATGTTAATGGTATTTTCGCCTCTTTCCACATTTCTGCATCATTCCTTGTAAAGATTGTAAAGGTGTAAAGTAGATTATAACGTTCATCCTCAAAACATTTATAATAAGAACCTGATAATTCAACTAGTCCAGGCACTGTGTCTGGTTTAATCTTTTTTATAGCTTCAGAAATTTCCTTTACTATTAGAGGTCCGTTCATAATAGCAATAGCACTTAGAATTATATACCACTTCACAGTGCTTTACAGCCATCTCTAAGCGGTTTACAGAGTCAGCATATTGCCCCCAACAATCTTCACTACTGATTTCGGAAGGGTACTGGGTCCTCACTTTACTGACCTTGGAAGGCTGAGTTAACCTTGAGCTGGTGAGATCGAACTTCTGGAGTGAGCAGTGAGTTAGCCTGCAGTACTGCATTCTCACCACAACGCTCTCTGTTCTTCTGTAATCCTTCATAAATTTTCTTTCTTTGAATTTTATCTATTTTTTTTCTCAGAGAGATGTCATTTCCTTTATACAAGTTTGAATAATAATGATGAAATACTTTTCGTTTGGCTGTGTTATCCAATATCAGTCTCTTGTAGTTTCAAATCATTTTTTTTGTAATTTTTATGCCAACCACTTCATTTGTTTGCAAACTCAAAAATTTTTTTGCTTTACATAATTCGCTTTAGTTTCTATTTCTTTTATTGTTAAGCTACAGTTTTCTTAAATCTGGGGAGTCAGGCAACATTTATTATCTACAGTATTCATTATCTATACTACTAGTAGTATAGCATTTATTATCTATACTATTAAGATTTTTATGTCTGTAACCTTTAGCTGGGCAAAACAGTGCATCATAGGGCAAAACATTTTCACACAAAATACCTCAAATGGGCTAACTTACAGAATGTGTAAAAAGCCAGGACCCATGTCTCCTCTGGAACTGAAATCTGGCAAATTTTATAAAGCATTTTCTGACATAATACAAATGTCATAAAATATTTCTTGTGATCAGCTGCTGATGTTTGACTGTACTATACATTTCAACATGGGTTGCTTTCAAGACAGATCTCTGAATATCTCTAAATTTTTAAGAACTTTTCCAGTACATGAGAGGATCTGTCATTTTTGAAGATATTGAGGAATCTAATAAGGAATCTGATATCACTGAATCAATAACACAATAGGTCATGAATTGTTTAGGTATTTTTATTATTAAAATAAAATATATTTTAATAATATAAGAAATATTTAGGGAAAGATATTTTTCCATGTCTGTTCTATGAATCAGAATTATCAGAAGATTGTAATAATATAAAAATATAAGCATAGTCAAAAACCATTTACGAGTCTTTTAAAACATTAAATGCTTTGGGGGATGTGGAAACATATTTGCTTGTTTGCTATAAACCACTCTCAGCATTCTAGGTAAAAAGCAAGATCATAATCTTACATATGGCAGAATATATATTTTTTTCAGCAAATATAACATTCTATTAATGTCTGTCAATAGCCAAAACAAAGATGTCCCTGTCAACCTAATACATATTAGCCCAATATACTAGGAAGGTGTATATATCTAGAAACATGCCAGGTGTTTGATTCATGAAATTTGTTTTTTTTTCTGAATGTGATTCATTTATTTTTTACAAAGTTGTGAAATGGCTTATTTTTATTTTTTTAATATTAATTCAAACAGTTTTGGCAATTGTAAAATATTTTGAGATGACATGGAATATATAATATAATAGATGGAAGTTGCATATATATATGTGTGTGTTGTATTTTCTTCTCTAGAACAACTTTTGGAATTCATGCATCAATTACCAGCTTTTGCTAATATGACAATGTCAGTGAGAAGAGAACTCTGTGCTGTGATGGTATTTGCAGTTGTAGAAAGAGCAGGAACCATTGTTCTAAATGATGGAGAAGAAGTAAGTAGTATTTGTAGCTTTCTTGAGTTTCTCAAAGAAACATTAAATTTATTTCATATAATAAAGACATTAATTTATTTTATTCATAAAAATTATAGATAAATTGCTGAATATAAAACACATGCATTGGGGTTACAGTGTTAACATTAAAATGATCAGTTTTTGTATGTATTATGAAACTGAATTTCTTTATTCAAACACACACACACACACACACACACACACATCTCTAAGTATGTACCACAGATAATTTGAAAGGTTTGTGATTAAAATACTAGAATTCTTTATCCAGTTCTTGTTTTATGCAGATCATAGCAGACTTACAAGTCATAGCCTTGACTTACAAAGGCAGTTCTGATGGTTGTAAAGCACAACTGCATCATTTAGCAACAGCAATCCCCTGGATCCCATTGTTAAGTGAATGCCATGATCATTAGGTAAAACAACTTTCTGCTGGCTTCCCACAGCCAAAATCAGTAGGGAAGCCAGCAGAAAGTTGCAAGTCCCAGGCTGGCAGGCAGGCTGAGGGAGGAGCAAGAGGGTGTATGGGAAAGGGTCAGGTAGCGGGGTATGATGGTTCAGGAGAGGGTGTGAAGGGATGCATGAGATATGGAATGGATTGGGGTGGATGCAAGAGTGTGTGCAAGTGATACAACATGGGTCAGGAGAGTGCATAAGAATGTGAGGAGATGTTTGAGAGGCATGGGTCAGGGAGGTTGGGGAGGGGGTACACAGGATACACAGGTCAGGGAATGTGCAGCACAAATCAGGGAAAGTGCCTGAGGATGCAAGGGAGTACATGAGAGGTGAGGCATGGGTCAGGCAGGGGCTGCAGGGGTGTGAGTGGCTAGTATGTTACAAGTGCAGAGGGGATAATGTAGCGTGCAGGTTGGGGGGGGGGAAAGACTGAGCCCAGCGATTTAGGACATTCCCTGCCAGCTTCCCCATTGATTTCTGAGGAAGCCAGTAGAGAGAGTTGCAAATGACAATCATGTCATCATGGGGTGCTGCAGCCATTTGTAAATGTGTATCAGTTGCCAAGCATCCAGGTTGAGATCATGGCATGTTGGGATGGCCAGAACTCTGAGGACAGAACTCTAGTTATAATTATAATTCATTGCTGTTGTAATTTCAAACAGTTGCTAAATGAAATATTGGAGACTACCTGTTACTTTATTTACCTGGGAAATAGCTCAGAAATGAAACCAGAATATATCAAGTTGGATATCTTTAATTTTTGTCGACTGAATATGTAAATTGTTAGGTATTTAATTGGACTTAAAGCACACCCATCTTCAACTGAAAATTTGTGTCTATTTGGTTTAGTGTATGGTCACATGTTTGTTTTTTCTCTTATTTGCAAGCATTTATTAGAAGAAAACTGAAAATGTAGTTTTATCTTGCTTATCTGAAACAATGTATTTTATTTTTAGCTTGATTCCTGGTCTGTTATTTTGAATGGTTCTGTGGAAGTAACATATCCAGATGGAAGAACAGAAATATTATGCATGGGAAACAGTTTTGGTGTTTCCCCTACTATGGACAAAGAATATATGAAAGGAATCATGAGAACTAAAGTGGATGACTGCCAGGTAGACTTTGAAATCTGAATGAACTATTAGAAGAGTTTACGTTTCTTATGATTGGACATTATTAACTTTTTGTGCCTTTTGTGTTTCACCCTACTGCAGCTACAAATAGAATTTTGTCCTTTGTTTTCAGTTATCAGTTTCATCCTATATCTCTTGAATAACCTTCTGTATATGCAGATTGCAGACTGCCTAGTTGTATAAATCTTACAACATTCACATATTAGTACGTTCTTGGAGCCATCATTGAAAAGCCTGTATATATTTATAAATCTGGACTAGCTAGCCATGTTTTTGTTTTAATACTACAGAAAGACTGCATTTTTTTTTCAGAATTAGATAAGATAAGAAAGCCTTTATTGTCATTTTTTTACTTTGGGCACAATGGCACACATCAAAAATGAAATTTAGTTGCCCGCTCTCAAAGTGAAACACATACAGGACACACACCTAAACATACTATGTACATTGCATTCTCTTTAACATTTCCCAAACTAGGCATTTCCCTCTGCATGAGTAATTCCCCACCTAGCACAGGTGAAAAGTTCACAAATCTGGAAGATGCCATATTTGCATAGAAATTAGTTTATTCAAGAAATGGAGGGGAATGGTGATATGAGATTGTTGTGATAGTTATTAATTCAAATTAAATTAATTATTAATGTAATTTCATAAACAAAAAGCCTGGTACAGTTTTCCTAGTTTATATAAATACTTGAGGTAGCAGTAATTATTGTTTGGCATTGTTGCAAATCATCTGATAAAAAATGACATAATAATAATAGTAAATAAATCATTTCTAGTAATTATCGTAGTAATGTGCTATTCTAAAATCAAACAAGTTCTAGAAATATTTTGGATTTGACAAGAGTATTAAAAATAACATAAATACATAGAAAAACATTAACTCTACTAAGATTATAAGCATAGTTATGGAATAAGCACACTGAAGTCATAAATCTTAATTCTGAATAGAGATCCAAAAGTTTGTGATGAATGCTATTTATTATTATTTTTTATTATGGCTGAATTCATACTTCATATTTTACATTAGGGAATTAAGTATAGAACTGTGGCCTTAAAGTTTTAAATATATTTGGATACAATTCAAAATAATTAATGTGCTGTCACAAATCTCTCTTTCCAGTTTGTATGCATAGCCCAACAAGATTACTGTCGCATTCTGAACCAAGTAGAAAAGAACATGCAAAAAGTAGAGGAGGAAGGAGAGATTGTTATGGTAAAAGAGCATAGGGAATTGGATCGCACTGGAACAAGAAAAGGTCACATTGTTATTAAGGTATTTTTTTAACATCACAATGTATTCAATGGAAAAAAATGAATACTGTTTAGGGAGTATTTGTATATTAATGTTATAATATACAAATACTGCCTTATTTTCAATGTTTTAAGCGTTTATAATTTTTAATTATAGAAAATTATATTTTAGAAAAATAAATTCTTGGATATATGCAATTATACATGAAGTATTCCTTTTCTGGTTAAGTATTGTTATGCAGAATCCAAAAAGGAAATAAGAAATAATAGATGTCTGTCTCCAAAAACCAAGATAGATATATTCTGACTGTACCACACAGATTTCTTTATTGTTCTTCACCCATAAACATTAGTTTGGTATGCCAAACTAAAGCATATCAACTCCCCCATAAAGCATTTTCAGAACTATTAGGGAGGAGCCATCTTCACCTTTTTTCTCTCACACAAACGCTGAATAGCTGAATAAAATAGAGCTGGAAGGGACCTTGGAGGTCTTCTAGTCCAGCTCCCTGCTCAAGCAGGAGTACCTATACCATCTCAGACAAGTGACTGTCTAGCTTCTTCTTAAAAATCTCCAGTGATTTCTGGAGGCAAGCTGTTCCACTGGTTTATTGTCCTCACTATCAGGAAGATTTTCCTTAATTCTAGGTTGCTTCTCTCTTTAATCAGTTTCCAACTATTGTTTCTTGTCCTGCCCTCTGGTGCTTTGATGAATAACGTGACCCCCTTTTCTTTGTGGCAGCCCCTCAAATAGTGGAATACTGCTATCATGTCTCCCCTATTTCTTCTTTTCTTTAGACTAGCCAAACCCAAGTCCCACAGCCGTTCTTCGTATATTTTAGTCTCCAGGCCTTTGATCATCTTAGTTGCTCTTCTCTGAATTTTTTCCAAACTCTCAACATCTTTTTTGTGATATGGTGACCAAAACTGGTTGCAGTATTCCAGGTGTGGTCTTACTAAGGTTTTATAAAGCGGTATTAATACCTCGTGTGATCTTGATTCTATGCCTCTGTTTATACAGCCCAGGATTGTATTCGCTTTTTTGGTTGCTGCTGCACATTGCTGGTTCATGGTTAAGTGATCATCCACAGTTACTGTTTTTAAGCTAGGTCTTACCCAATCTGTACTTATATCATTGATTTGTCCTGCCTAAATGTAAAACTTTGCTTTTCTCCACATTGAAACTCATTTTGTTAGATAGGGCCCATTGTTCAAGTTTGTCAAGATCTTTTTGGATTCCAAGTTTGTCTTCTGGGATGTTGGCTACTCCTGCCAGTTTGGTGTCATCTACAAATCTGATGAGTTCCCCTTCAATTCTCTCATCTAAGTCATTGATGAAAATATTGAAGAGTACTAGGCCTAAGATGGAACCTTGTGGTACCCCACTGCTTACTTCTCTCCATGTGGATGTAGTGCCATTGAGGACTACTTGTTGAGTACGGTTTGCCAGCCAGTTACAGATCCATCTGGTGGTGATATTGTCTATTCCAGCTTTTTCTAGCTTACCAAGGAGTAGGTTGTGGTCTATTTTATCAAATGCCTGACTGAAGTCTAAGTATACTACATCCACAGTATTTTGCTGGTCTATTAGTTTAGTCACTTTGTCGAAGAATGAAATAAGATTGGTTTGGCATGATCTGTTTTTAACAAACCCGTGCTGGCTACTGGTTATAACTTGGTTTGCTTCTAGTTGTTTGCAGATCTGTTTTTTATTATATTTTCTAGAATCTTCCCAGGTATTGATGTTGAACTGATTGGTCTGTAGTTTTCTGAGTCCATTTTTTTTCCTTTCTTGAAGATGGGAACCACATCAGCCCTATTTCAATCCTTAGGTACTTCCCTGGTGCTCCAGGATTTTTGAAAGATGTGGTGCAATGGTTCTGAGATAATATTTGCCAGCTCCTTTAGAAATCTGGGATGTAATCTGTTAGGCCCCGATTATTTATATTTGTCAAGATTGGATATGTGTTCTCTTACCATTTTCTTGCTTATTTTAATTTTTGTTTCAAATTAGTCTTTTGCAGTGGGTTTTTTTTTTAATATATTGGGCTATAGTTTCTTTTTGTGTGAAGACTGATGCAAAGTATGAGTTAAGCAGCTCTGCTTTCTCCCATCCCTTGCCAAGAGTCCTTCACGTAGGAAATGCAGTCCATGATCCAGGAAACCAAAGTTTTCTTGCGACAACCCTCTAGCCAATGGTTTATTTCTAGAATTCTTTTTCCCCTCAATTGGTGTTGGCCTTTCATTGGGCATATGGATGAGAACACTACTTGTGCTCTTAGCTTCTTAACTTTATTGCCTAGTTGTTTATAATTTCTCACTATTGTACTCAGGTTCTTTGTTATGTCTCTGAACACAACTCTCTGAACTGAATTGTCTCTTGACTGAATTCATTCCCTCTTTGTTGGGAATCTGGACTACATTTTATCACATCAAACTAAAGAAATTTAAGGAGTGAGATAAGGAAGAGAACTGTAGCTAAAATTGTTTATTCCAGTACCATTCAGTATGATACTATATAGCTTTCTTTCCCAGCCATATTTGCTTCCATTGCATCCATACACTATCCACCACCAATTCCTACATACTTTTTTTTTTAAAAAAAAAAACATATCCAATCTCCTTCAAGAATCTCTTCAATGCCTTCTATTATATTCTGATCTTCTATCCTCTTCTCAACCAATTTTTTTATCTGCCATACATTTTCTGCAGTTTAATCCACATACATTCTCCTGTGAATACCACTCACTCAGTTCAGTCCATACTTATTTGGCATCTATTCATTCTTGAAATTATTTTTTATTACAATATTTATAATACAATACTTTATTACAATACAAAATATTACAATATTTTTATTACAATACAATACTTCCCAGGTACTCACTTCCACTCTATTTATTTACTTTAATGTTTCTTCTGACTTTCAGTACTCTGTAAAAGAAGTTGGCAAAAGCAAGATTTTATATGCAGCCAGTTTCCTATTTTTCAGGAAGCATTCATTCCTCTTAACAGATCAGATACTATCCCTCAGTTTCTAACAGTCAATATCATTTTAATATTAACTTCTGTTGTTCATCTTGGTTTTGATCTGAAGATTTTATGTAATGCTTTGATAAGTTATAGAAGATGTAGACTAAAGGGCCAGCATTATTTGTATTCAGAGAAAGTTGCGTATGGCAATTAATGTGTGTGTATGTACTGGTATGTATATACGTTTGTGTGTTTGTGTCATGTCATTGTTTAATTTTAAATATAGTCTAATAAACATTCTGTTTTAAATTTGGTGAAACAAATAAGGTGCAAGAAAAAAACATTAATGTGTTGATGTTTGAATATTTACTTTTACAGGGAACACCGGAGAGATTAACAATGCATTTAGTCGAAGAACATTCAGTAGTGGATCCAACTTACATAGAAGATTTCCTTTTGACATATAGAACCTTCCTTTCAAGCCCAATGGACGTGGGAAAAAAGTTATTGGAGTGGTTTAATGATCCTAGCCTCAGGGATAAGGTTGCATAAATAATGTTCTTCTAGGTCCTTATTTTAACTGTATTGTATTTGGATAGTTTATATAGAATTGGAGGATGAGGAGTGACAATAATTTTTTTCTCCTTCAGGTCACTCCCTCCACTCTATGTAGCAACCAGAAATGAGTAGGAAAAATGGCTGCAACCATGCTCATTTGTAGAGTTGACACACCATTTACATGCACAGACTCCTAACTATGGAATGTTAAATCTTGTATATTCTATCTGTCTTTTGTTATAATTTAAGAAAACTAAATACCACATTTAGTTTTAAGCAATAGACTCTATTACGAGATTTTAATTAATATTTGTAAATTGCAAAAAGATTGGAATTTAATAGGTATTAAATAGTTTTAAAATAAATTAAAACATTAAACTCCTTTTTTCTGAAAGTAAACCAAGTGGGAAGCAGTCATTGTTCCAAAAGGTGTATTTTGCAGTTTGTGAACAATAAAGAATAATTTATCCAAGTAGATAGCTAATTCTAGACATTTTAATTAGCAAATTAAGAATATAACAGGTTTTGAAACTCATTGGTTATTTATTTATTTGGTTTATATTGCTGCCCAATTTACAAGAATAAAATTGGGCGACTTACAATTTGAAAAGCAAATTTGAAAACAAGGAATTAAAAATGAAATAAGAGACAATATAAAATAATGTAATATAATAACTTTCAGAACTTACAAAACAGGATAATTGAATCACACAAATAACAATAATAATAGTCCAATCAACATGTATATCGTTTAAGGTTTTTCATTTCATATAGGCTCTTCCAGTGGTCTGGCCCAATTATTGAACCAGGGTTTTAGGACTTTGCAGGAGGACAGAAGGCTCAGGGCTGTCTGAACTTCAGCTGTAAAATAGGATTATCTGAAATTTAAAATGATTTGTTAATAATAAACCTTTCTCTTAGAATGCTTGTTGTAGCTAAAATAATGATTTCAAAACTATTGAAAGAATTAGACTGTCTATTCTCATGTGCAAAGAAATTGTGGTGAAATTAATCATTCAGAAAATATATATTTTTATTTTTTAAAAATTCCAGATTGTTTTTTATTATATTGGTGTACTTTTATAAAAATGGTGAATATCATATCATTCTATTCAGTTAAATGTCATTGATCAGATCAATTCATACCTAAATATTAATTCACTGAATATAATATTTTTATATGAAAATGCAACATAATTTTATATATCTTCCTTCAGGTTACACGGGTAGTGTTATTGTGGGTGAACAATCACTTCAATGATTTTGAGGGAGACCCTGCAATGACTCGTTTTCTGGAGGAATTTGAGAACAATTTGGAAAGAGAGGTATAAATAGACTTTTAGACAAGGAAAGAAAAAAGTTTTGATGCTCTATTGAGAATAACATTGAAATTAATGGTTCTGAATTAATATTTTTGCTTGCAGAAAATGGGTGGACATCTGAGGCTGTTAAATATTGCATGTGCTGCTAAAGCTAAACGAAGGATGATAACATTAACAAAACCATCTCGGGAAGCTCCTTTGCCTTTCTTATTACTAGGAGGATCTGAAAAGGGATTTGGAATCTTTGTTGACAGTGTAGATTTGGGTAGCAAAGCTACTGAAGCAGGGTTGAAACGTGGAGATCAGGTATGCAAATTAATGTTTGAAATGTCAGTAGTACTTCCAGGAAAAGACATTGTTTAACAGTTCATTTTTATATGAAAACTAAAAAAAAAAAAAACAGGAGTAGGAAAAGAATGGGAGATTTGCGGAAAGATGATCTTTATGAAACTGTAAAGCTTTGTGAATGAGTAAATTCCAGAGAAAAGCCTATTTTAAAAACATCAGTTGAATGTGAATTCATTGAAAACAAATAGTGTTATTTATGTAACATGTTTTAAACGTCTGATTTTTCAAATTTGCCAGTGCGAGATTTTTTTGTTCGTCTATCTAGATATTGGAGGTAAATGGCCAGAACTTTGAAAATATTCAGCTAGCGAAAGCCATGGAAATTCTTCAAAATAATACCCATTTATCTATTACTGTGAAGACCAACTTATTTGGTAAGTATTAATGACGTAAAGTTGTGTAATTTTTATTCAAATAGACTAGTTAAAAATATGATGCAGTATTTATTTAATTAATTGCCCTGTATATCACCAACTACTATATAATTCTAAGTCACTAATAACGTTATGATTTAAAATACCAGTTATTCCAATAAATTGACCATGATATTAAAGAATAAAATAATTAAACATCCACAATAAATAAATTAAATGTAAGTAAATGCTATTAAAATTTGCATAAACTTGCAAACATTAACAATATTTGTATATAAACCCAAGAAGATTTTAGAGTTGATCAAATTGTCAAATAAACTGACAGAGACTGGAAACAGCTTGTACAGTTTGCAACACAAGTATTATTAATAGCAAGACAAAATACTCATTCTTAATATCAATACAATAGCCTCATATAATGCCTCATAGTGCTTTACAAGATTCTCTGGACAGATTATAATATCAGCATATTGTCCCCAACAATCTGGGTCTTCATTTTACTGACCTTGGAAGGATGGAAGGCTGAGTCAACCTTGAGCCCGTCAGAAAAGTTATAGGCTTGAGCTGTGCATGAAAGCAAATTGGAAATGTCAGAAAACTATAAATTATTTATTGCCATTGCATATCACACTAAAATTAGCAAAAAGACAATGACATGTTTGTTTATTTACATTTCATGTTCCAAAAAGGGGCTCTAGGTCGTATACAGTATAATCAACATATAAAACAGCATATAAAATTAACAATAACATATTAAGATTAATTTAGGGTTAAAAACTTTAAAATGAAAAGATTATAACATTATAAAATTTCAAAGAAATAAACATAAGAATTCCAAGATGGTCATTTAACACAGGTTAATAAGGCAGAGAGAGGGCTCTCATGTCACCAGCCAGCCCTACAATGGCATGGACTTTTGTGCCTCCCATGCAAGTTCACAGAGTCAGGTTTTGATTTCTTTATGGGAAACCAGGAGAGTGGGGCCTGCCTTACCTTTGGGGAAAGGATATTGCATAATGCAGGGACAGTGGCAGACAAGACTGCCTTCCTAGACCTCACAAAACCAGCTTCTATATACTTTTCTTTCTTTTTTTAATTTTTTTTATTTTCTTTTTCACCATACACCATACACCAAAACAAACTTAAAATACATAAACATAAATCTTTTCTTTCAACAGAACAGTGCTATACATTTTAACCATTCTTTACATCTTCTTTACATTTTATTTACATCATTAATTATATCTTTTTCTTTCTCTGTTCTAGCCAATTATAACATTTATTCCAAATTTCATAAAATTCTGTCGCCTCCTTGTCTTTTAATTCTAGTGTAAGTTTATTCATTTCTGCGCATTCCAAGATTTTATACATAATCATGTTATTTGTGGGTGTATTTTCACTCTTCCAACATTGAGCATATGCTATCTGTGCTGCAGTCAATATGTGTATAATGATGTGTTGGAGTTGATTTTCAGTCTTTAAATTTATTATGCCCAAAAGAAATACTTCCGGTTTGAAGTCCATTTGTACCTCAGTTATCTCCTGTATCCAATCTCTTATTCGTTCCCAATAGTTTTTTGCTTTAGGGCACAGCCACCACATATGATAAAATGTTCCTTCTCTGATTTTACATTTCCAGCACTTCGGGTCCATATTTTTATGCATTTTGGCCAATCTCGCCGGTGTTAAATGCCATCTATAAATCATTTTATATTCTCCCTGTATGCAATTGATAGCGTCAATTTGCAATTTGTGTTCCATAATCTTTCCCATTCCTCTAAATTTATATTTTGCCCCACATTTCGTGCCCACGCTTCTATATACTTTTAAAGGGTAGCCCCATTTAGAGCACATTGCAGTAGTCCAATAGAAAGAAAACTAGGGCATGAGTGACAAAGTGGAGAGCCCCTTGTCCAGGAAAGGACATACAATGCAGAGTTGGACAAAAGAACCTTCTAGCCAAAGCTTCCACCTGCTCCTTGAGCAGGAGCCATGAGTCTAAGAGAACCCTGAAGTTACATAGCAGTATTATATGTATCACCCTAGGATTCCCCAAAAGTGTGCATGCCATTGCATTCTGCACCAGCTGTACCCTTGAAGAGTAGTCCAAATAGAGCATATTGTAGTAATTCAACCAAGAGATGACTAGGGCATGAGTATCTGTGCACAGGGCCTCACGATCTAGGTAAGGGTACAACTGGCATACATGACGAATTTGTGCAAAGGCCCTCCTAGCCACCATCTCTTAAACAGGAGACACAAGTCCAAGAGAACTCCCAGATTGTCCACTGAGTCTGTCTATGGCACAGGTCGGCAACCTGCAGCTCCCAGACTCTTCTGCCATTTGCAGAGAGAGACAGAGAGAGGCACTTGCACTTCCCTCCTCTCTCTCCCTCCCCCCCCTCTCTGTGTGTATAAAAGAGAGTGGCCTCACCCTGATCTACGAGCTGAAAAGCTTATTGGGCAGGGCTCCTCCCTTTGCTGCGTCTCTGCAGGAAGCAGGAAGGGGAGGAGAGAGCTAGCCTGTTGCAGAACAGGTTGAAGCCAGCTTGCCAGGTGAGCAGAAGATCGAAGAGAGGGAGAGAGGGGAGGAGAGAGAGAGGAAAGAGAGAGAAAGAGAGAGGGGGAGAGACAGAGGGAGAGGAAAGAGAGAGGGAGAGGAAAGAGAGAGAAAGAGAAGAAAGAAAAAGAGAGAGAGATAATAAAGGTAAAAAAGGATATATGCAGTGTTATCTTCATTTTAGATTTCAGAAGGGTTTTGTGGCTCCCAGTGTTTTGTTTTCAGTGGGAAACGGGTCCAAATGGCTCTTTGAGTGTTTTAGGTTGCCTACCCCTGATCTATGGTAATGCAAGCCCATGCAGATTTAAAGATGATAAACATCTGGATCCTGAGGTCCCTTGCACCCACAGTCACTCTATTTTCTCAGGATTCAGCTGAAGCCTGTTGTCCCCTATCTAGACCTCTACAGCCTCCATGTACTGAGAAAGTGCAGCCACAGCATCACTTGGCTCACTAGGATGGAAAAAGTAAAAGTGTGTATCATCAGCATACTGATGAATCTCTTCCAATGATTTTGGGTGTTCTCACCCAGCAGTTTCATGTATATGTTAAAAAGGAGTGAACATTGAGCCCTGCAGCACTCCACAAAGGAAGGGCCATGAGCTGGATCTCTCACTCCGTATTAACACTGATAAGGACTGACCTTGAAGGAAGGAAGTGAACCAGAACAAAAATGTGCTGTCCACTCTCAATTCCTTACCTTAACCAGGAGAGATCCAGGAGAGAAAGGATGGATGTTAAGCTCCAAAAACCAAGAAAGACACATTGAAATTTTTCTAAGCAGTTTCCTTGATTGCTTCTCACCTATAGATAGAAATCTTGCCAAACTGAAGCAGCCTTTCTTTTGCTCCTCTGGAATGCACTTCTTCCCTCCTGGGAATCCAGACTACATTCCATTACAGACCTTCCCAGGGGGTTTCCAACAGCAAAGTCAATGATGGAAACCAAATTCATTAATGACCACATGATTCAGTTAACACCTGCCATGATTTGCTTAACAATCATGGCATAAAATGTAAATCATTTAATGAATGCATTGCTTAGTGATGGACATTCCACTCCAATTCTGATTGTACATTGAGGACTATCTATATGTCTTGAAGACTCAGTTCTGCCTCTAAAATAGATTGGTAGACTAGACCAGTGATGGCGAACCTATGGCACACGTGCCAGAGGCGGCACGTGGAGCCCTCTCTGTGGGCACATGCCATCACCCCAGCAAATGTGATCTCTAAAAAACTTCGCAATCACTGGCCTAAGGCCAGCCAACCTGGAGCCGCCATTGGGGAGCCCACCATCCTACCCGCCAGAGACCCTCTGGATCTCCCCCAACCCTGCCCGGCTCCCACAGGTGTCCCTCCCCATTAGCAATATCAAGGTAGCCAAGCTCACCCCAGCCACGCCCACCCAATCTTCCATGACTACTGCAGCCACACTCATCTAGTGGCCACGCCCACCCAGTCTGCCAAGCCCACTGTAGCTGCACTCGCCAAGTGGGCCACACCCAGCCGGCACCCGGCGATACATAAGTGGGTTTGGGGTTGCAGTTTGGGCCACTCGGTCACTAAAAGGTTTGCCATCACTGAGCTAGACTGAAATTTTATATTTATAGGAACATGAAAAGTACATTTTGGGGGGTGGTAGTTTTTCTACATGCTTTCTTTTCTTTTTCTTTCTATGCAGTTTTTAAAGAACTTCTAACAAGATTGTCTGAGGATAAAAGAAATGGTGCTCCTCATCTTCCTAAAATTGGTGATATTAAAAAAGCAAGCCGTTATTCCATCCCAGATCTTGCAGTTGATGTGGAACAGGTGATGGGTCTGGAAAAAGTAACAAAGAAAAGCAAAGCCAACACTGTTGGAGGAAGAAACAAGTTAAAGAAAATACTGGACAAAACCCGCATCAGTATCCTGCCTCAGAAACCATACAAGTGAGTTTGATATTTGGAAGAACAATATGCTTTCATTAGATATATCACTGGTGCATTTTTTAACATTGACAAATGATTATAAACAAAAAGCATAGAAGTATAAGCCAGGGACAGTCTGAAAACCTCTAGCATAAAGCAGGTACTGCAGGTACACTAGGAACAAGCAAACTGCAATTGGTTGTAAATATGAGGCAATTTCAAGCACCTGAAATATGGTCATGTGACTGTGGGAGGGCCAGCATAATGTTGCATAATACCTGTAAATGCTTTACAAGCCACAAAGCACTCTTTCTAAGCTATCATAACTTTGAAAAATTAAACAGTAATAAATCAAAGACTACTTTGATTTATTTTAAGTATTGATTTATTTATTTTAAATATTTGTATAGCCACCCATCTTATAACAAACTCTTGGCATCTCCCAATTCAGGCATTTAGGTATTCACGTTTACCTAAAATAGAATTAGCGATGTAATCTTCATGAATTAAAATTGTTTCTTCAAAATTAAATATCTACATAGTATAATAATATTATGTATTCACGTGAGTCAGAAACTTAAATTACTTCAAAAAAGTAATTTTGTTGAATAGCACTGGCCTTTTACTTCCTTATTCTCAAAATCAAATGAAGCTCAGTATTATTTGAATATTTTGATCATTAGAGTCTGATTTATATCTGAAAGATTAAATAATTGTTTCACTGTAAAGATGCAGGAAACGTGCCTTTGTGTATTCTTGAATAATTTGGGAACTGAAGCTAATTACATACACAAGTATATATAGTAGGGAATGGTGTGAAAATTAAATATATCAGTATTTATTCTCCTGTAGTTTTAAAATGCTGTTCCATCCATGGACACATCCATGGCACTGTAGCAAACTTGAGCTTTTCAGTTTTACAGTGTCTAGATATATTAATATCAGTTCATCTGTTATCGGATTAGTGAATATATTTTAATTTATTATGGTTTTTTTCAAAGTTATCAAATTTATGAATGTTATGGGCCAATGAATTTAGAACAGCAAGAAAACTCATAAGGATACATTACATTATATACAAGAATAACTGTGTAAGCAGAGTAACTATGTTTCTATTCTGTTACTGTAGTGATATTGGAATTGGTCAATCTCAGGATGATAGCATTGTAGGCTTAAGGCAGACCAAGCACATTCCTCCTGCTCTACCTGTCAGTGGAACATTATCATCAAGCAATCCTGATTTACTGCAGTCACATCACCGTATCTTAGATTTCAACACAACCCCAGGCGAGTATCGAATTTTGATTGCCATCAATGAATTAACCTTTTATTTTGCTGATGGATATAGAAACTGAAATGAAAATGTGCACCTTAAGTTCACTTGAGTTTACTTTGTGTCACAGTGAAATACATAGAAATGGATAAGACTATTTAAGTGCGCAAATTAAACAATACACTAAATTATACCCAGATATGAGTTGCTACTTGATATGGCCCTTGATTATTTTGATAAATGTTGTTTGAATTTGGGGATATGTGATCTGCTGTATGTAAAATCTTTTATATATTCTCATCCCATTTTTACAGAATACAAACATTTTATAAAAGAAAACTATTTGTGTGTTTGCTTGCTTGAGCTGTTTTATACCAGCCAGCTAAAAATAACAATTGATAGCTTGTAGTAGGATTAAATAAGTGATACTGAAACAAATAACCAAAAAACCTCTCTCTGTATTACTTATTATTAGATATATAGAACTATGCCAAAAATAATCTGGGATGTAGTTTGACCTGTAGACTTTTAAATACTATTTCAAACATAGCGAATCTAAGCCATTATTTAGAATGAATCACAGAAGTTATCTTGTCCAACTACGCTGCTCTGTAGTATCTTTAACTAATGGCCCTCCAACTTCTTCCTGAGGACCTCTAACAAAGGTGAACTCATCACATCGTTGGAATATTTTCCAGAGGCTAGCATCCCATAGGATTGGGAAGCTCATTTTAGTATCCAGACGGAACTTACTTCCTTGTGGCTTTAAACATTGGCTCTGATCCTCTGAAGCAGTAGAGAAGTTGTGTCACAACTCTTTAGATATTTCAAGATTGCTATGATATTTTATCCTACCCATATTTTATCCTACCCATATTTTCAGTAAACTAAATATTCTTAGATCTTTTAACTGTTGTCCGTGGCATATAGAATTCAGTTAAGATAATAGTAAACAGAAAGAGATGACAATTGAGAAATAATACATTTTCTGAAGAGTTTATTGTTAGAAGTTAGTAAATACAAAGCAATTTTAGTTTATAAGGAGAAGTAAAGTATTATCTTGTAGCATTGCTGATAATGATTATAAACTACTATATACTTCTCAATAAATGCTGTGTGCTTTTTTGAAAACCATTTCTTGTACTCTATATTCTGTTTATTTAATGTCAACATATATTGTTCCCTTAGGAATTTTTAAAGGAAGTTGGATTCTAATCTCAAGTTGCAGTGTGTATTTTAATAGCATGTGCACAGTTTAAATTGGTTGCTAGTATTGACTGTATAAAGATTAAGATGGAGGAGCTTCCAGGTATTAGTACTTAAGGTTACTAAAATGGCGAAAAAAGATAGAATTGTTGTCTAATATAGTTAAGAAGTTTGTAATGCTGCTTAGGCAAGAATGCTTAGTTACATGAATATTTTAAACTTGTAGTCAGCTTTTCCAGAGTAATTGGTTTGTACATTGAAATTTTCAAATTAAATTTTAATAGGTGTGAATCCAGATATATATTTTAAATCTGATTACTTCTTTATCTGAGGCATTCACTTAAGATCTTTAAATTATACTTTTATGCAAGACACTAATTAGATATTACATTTCCTTCACTTGAATTTATTGTGACATAATGCATTTCTTGGTAAAAAGACAGATTTGAAACCTTATGTATTATAGTGTCCATTCCATAACATACTTGTGTGAGAGGCATACAGGTGGTCCTTAATTTATGATGGCAACTAGGACTGGAATTTCTGTTGCTAAATGATGCAGTCATAAAGCATGACAGCATGTCTTAGTGACAGTAATCCCTGCAGTCTCACTTAGATTGTTAATCTAATCCCACAGTGGTTATGCAAGGCAAAATCCTGCTGGCTTTCCACAATCAAAGTCAGTGGGGAAGCTGTAGTAAGTTGCAAATTCCAGGGTGGCAGGCAGGTGAGTGGTCACTGCTGGGTGGGTGAGGGAGTGCACAGGATGCAGGAAAAATGTTAAGGAGGCAATACAAGAAAAGGTCAAGGGCCAGGGTGAGTAAAAGGCATGGATCAGGGAAGGGAGCAAGGTGATACTCAAGGTGTGGTGCAGGTCAAGGAAGGTGTATCGGGGTGTTAGGAGGTGTTAGATTTGAATGGCATGTATCAGGGACCTGCAAGGAGATGGATGAGTCTGGGTTATGGAGAGTATGAACCCCAAAATAATGTGTACCTCCTCCTTTTTCATCATTAGTACACTCAAAATGAAGAGATTCAAATAATTTCCTCCACTTGCTGCAAATCACAGTTTCAGATTATATTAGGATATTCAATTCTTAATTTAATATCTGTGATTCATACACAAAAGTTCTGTAGTCTGCTATGTTCAGAGCTTAAGATTTTGACAGGAGCGCTACCTCATTATAAAACATTTCACAAAAAGATAGGACTTCTACCAACCATTTCAGTTCAGTATTTTGATTTCTATTCAAAAACATCTTAATTCTTCCTCTCATGTTTTCGATATTTGCTTGGTATTGTTAGAATATATGGTCTCCAGGCCTCTTAAAAATACTTGATAGTTGAATTGTGGAGGCCTACTTTTCCTTATGGAGAGAAATTTTTGTAGCCTGTCTTCATAAAAGGCAATTGTAGAAGCATGTTCTTAATAAATCATGATATATGTGTATCTGGGAGCACACTTTGAGCTAGCTAACATGGCAATTATGATTACCCCCAAATCGCCATTTAAACCTACTTGTTCCTCTTCCTTTCCAGTAATGCTAAATCAGTTAAACCTTTCATCAACTATCCTGAGCATTCAAGTGAAGGGTCAAATTTCAAAAGTGAAATACCATTCTCTTCCCACACCGTGTATTTATTAATATTCTTATTTTTTCATGATTGTTATTGAGCAAAAGCAGATGTTTTATTACTTCTTTTTCAGATATTGCATAATAGTATTATGAAACTCAATCTCTAGTCATTCTTCTGTTTCACCATCCATCTAGTTTGCTATTCAGAAATTCACTTTCAGAGTTTTACTGACATATCTATCCATATGTATCTTAAAACAATTAGTCCACCCAGAATCCTTTTACTGGTGAGAGGGCCAGTATATAAATTAAACAAATAAATCATCTCAATACCTCTGTCCATTTCTTTACAGGATGCCATTGTTGGAGATCAGACACAATTCTTTCCTTAGAACACATGCAGTCCTTCACAGAGCAGGTTATACAGTGCACTGTGACCTAATGATCAAAAATCAGAGCAGTGAATGCAGAATCATTTCTTTTAGCTAGTGCAAAACAAACAATAATAGTTATGCAAATACAAATGTTTTCATTTTGCTAAAATTGACTAAGGATTTATTGTTTAAGCTCTCTTTGATGCCCTTTGCCTCAAAGCACTTGAAAATCTTTACTCAAAAAAAGGTCCGTTCTTTTCCTTTTCAGTACTTCCTATATAACTTACCGTAAATGCCGGCGTATAAGATGACTTCCGCGAGCGCTGAAATCGGCGCCAAAGACGGGGGTCGTCTTATACGCCGAGTCGTCTTATACGCCGAGTCGTCTTATACGCCGGAAATACTGGTAGTTTCCGGTGTATAAGACGACGTTCTAGGAATGCGGCCCGGCTATAAAGACGGGGGTCGTCTTATACGCCGGGTTGCCTAATACGGCGGCATATACGGTAGTAATTTATATCTCATTGGTCACAGAGTCCACATTCTATCCCAGGAGATAATGATGAGCATAAACTGGATATGATGATTCACTAATTTTGTTTATTTATGTATTTGCCTGGCAAAACATTTCATGTGAGAGAAGGTGTTGTCTTTAATTTTCTTCCTGATGATAAAAAGGAATGTAACCAAACTGAGAGATTCTACTGAGGCTGAGAGAGAACAAGAAGTATCTCCGGGCTTAAGCAAGTAGATGGCAGATGTTGTTATGGACTCATCAAAGAAATAGATTGTTAGCCTACCATGTAAACGCTCTGAAAAGAATAAATTCAAAAGTTTCAGAGGCTTTCCTTAACAAATCCACTATTAAGTAGGGCTGCAGAGCCCCCATTCTCAAGGTTCTCTACTTTAATTTTTAGTTCTTAGCATTAAAACTAATTAATTTTCTAATGAACATGAGTATGATCATGCTTACTTGATCATATTCTGCAAATAAGGGTTTGACACAAGAGTATTGTGGATAATGGAGATTCTGCCGCAGGATTTACCATCTCTGGCCATATGATCCTTGAAGCATATCTAGAGTATATTAGATTACTTCACTAGGTAGCATAGAAATTACCATTTTTTTAAAAAATCACAATTTTTCCATGTGGGATAATCCAATTCTTCAGATCAAGTCTCAATATAATAGGTTCTGTTTCTTCCACGTGACTGTTTTGGGTACATTACACAATCTAATTTCCAAATTATTATCTGGTCACCTAGTTTCACTGAAGTTAGTCTTTCATTTATTCAGTTACCTTGGCTAGATATCTTTGCAATACAAGATGGGAACTTCCTCATAAGTAAAAACAAATATGAGCTCTGTTACCGGAGGAAAATCCTCTTTATAACAATTAGATGAACTTCCTGATGATATTCAGGAGTAATCTTCCTTTAGAACATTAATCAAGTGATTGTTGAAGTCCTTGTGAACAATGCCACATTAAAATACTATCTGAAGAAACTGCATGAAATTACTATTGTTAACCAGGTTTGCACTGAAAATTTTGAGATCGGTGTACTTTTCTTTCTTGTGGCCATTTGTCTGGCAGAGAAAGACAGTATAGTGGCAGATATGGATACCTAGGCATTACTGAACATTTGGAAATGAAACTTCAAGCAATCAAACCTTTTCCATGAATAGAGGTTGTGTCTCTTAGAAATTTACTGAATAACATGATCAGAGCCTTTGACTTTTGTCAGGCATAATATGTTGGACCCTTTCAAAATGCAGTATTTGACTAAGCTCTCCTTTCTTAGCATTTCCCTGAAGCATCTACCTCCAGATTCAGTTGCTGGTTAATCATCTATACATATGACTCAAACAGTGATCAAGAACTGGTTATACAGTGGTAACTGTTGCTTTATAACTGATCATCCATAAATTTAAACAGGCCAGCAAACCATCCTACTCAAGACTGAGACTAGTATATAATTTGGATGCAATCTGGTTGTCATGAGAATTGAAATGGTTGGAGACATTGCTGCCTTTGTATATAACACGATATGGTGAGGCTCATATCAAAACAATGAATTTTGTTTTAGAACATTCAACCTGATTTATTGTACAAATGCAGAACACCTATATGTAAATTTAGAGATGACCACACAAAGAACATAGTAACAGGTAAAATATTAATTCTCATAATTGTTCATGACTAAAGCTTATGAAAACAAGTCAGTTTTGCAGGTTTGAAATTAATTATTTCAATAAACTGAAGTACAAAATTGGTAGTGCATGATGCTAAAATAAGTTTACTTAAAAATAGTAGATACAGTATATACTAAGGAAGGTTTAAGAGTGAGCTTGCCAAATTTGACTTTAGTAATTTTTAATATAGTTTATTAGTTCATCTTGATACAGTAAATAAGTTTCTGATATGATTATAGATAGTCCTTGGTTAACAAATGACTTATTCAACAACCATTTGAATTTATGCTAGCAATGAAAAAGTAGATTTATGATTGGTCATAACTGCATGAAATTACATTATTGCAGTGTCTCTGCGATATGGGTGCTTCACTATTTGCAAACAGTTATGACAATCACAGTGTCCTATGGTCAAATGATTTTGTGACCCACATAGCCAGCTTCTGACACACACAGTCAATGGGGAAGTTGGCAGTAAAGTCACAAGTCACTGTCATGTGATATGTTTAATAACTGTGAGTGATTTGTTTAACAACTGCAGCAGAATTAAGTTAGATTTAGTCATATAATGTTTCAGTTAACAATCACATTACTTTTGCCAGCCAGTCATTAAGTGAAGACTACCTGTATACCGACTGTTTATTGAATGGGTGGAAATATATAGCACAGATTACAGAGAGGTCTCTTGCTCAAATCAGTGTATCCATTCTACATATGTTTTAGAAGTGATATCTCATATAAATAGGAAAAACAATATTCTTAAGACAAGATACTGTAAGTGTTTATGCAAGAAAAATTTATCATGAAGAAAAAGGTATCAGAAGAAAAATATCCCTATTCTTATTATATTATTCCTTGTTGAGAAATAATGACATTTTATTCTGTAATATGTCTTAGTATATATTTTTTTCATTACAGATTTACCAGATCAGGTTCTACGAGTTTTTAAAGCAGATCAGCAAAGTCGCTACATTATGATAAGCAAGGACACAACTGCAAAAGAAGTAGTTGTTCAAGCTATTCGTGAGTTTGCTTTAACCACCACCCCAGATGCTTATTCTTTATGTGAAGTCTCTGTCACTCCAGAGGGTGTCATTAAGCAGCGGAGACTTCCAGATCAACTCTCCAAACTTGCTGACAGAATACAACTTAGTGGAAGGTGAAAAAATAGATGTTATTTTGGCTTACAATTGGTATTTACTTAATAAAGTCATTTGGAAGCTGTTTATTTATTTAAACCTGATAGATTAATATGTGAAAAATATTTTTCAGGTATTATCTGAAAAATAACATGGAGACAGAAACTTTATGTTCAGATGAAGATGCTCAGGAATTGCTAAGAGAGAGCCAAATTTCTCTACTGCAGCTCAGCACTATAGAGGTGGCTACCCAACTCTCAATGCGTAATTTTGAACTGTTTCGCAACATTGAACCTACAGAGTACATAGACGATTTATTTAAACTAAAATCTAAATTTAACTGTGCTAATTTAAAAAAGTTTGAAGAAGTAATAAACCAAGAAACCTTTTGGGTAGCATCTGAGATTTTGCGAGAAACCAACCAGCTGAAAAGGATGAAGATAATTAAGCACTTCATTAAAATAGCACTGCACTGCAGAGAATGCAAGAACTTTAACTCAATGTTTGCAATAATAAGGTAAGCAAAGATAGATTTCTTCTGTCTATTCAGTATAGTAACAAAGGTTAACATGTTTTGTAATAAAAAGGTATTAGATAATAAGTAGAAAGATACACACACACACACACATATATAATTAGTAAATTTATATTACAAGAATATTTCATCAATCTGAAGCTATCTCAGTAGCTTTAAACAGAATAAGAGTAATGTAAAATATTTTTCTTCCCTGTTTAAATAATATTACAAGTTTTCATTATAAATATATTTATATGCATTCTTAAGTATCCAGAAAACTTGGGGACTGAAATGAATGACCACAAATTTCTCTTTAAAGAGTCAATGTGACATAAGTTTCATACTATATAAATCCTTTAAAAGTCACACAATGCAAGTTACATTTAAAAAGTAGTAATACTTACCATGAGGGGAAAAATCCAATTCAATGAAGTTTTATACAATCATTGAAAGCTTTCGAGTTTCTTAGAACTCATCATAAAGCAAAATAGAGAAAATGAATGTGGCCAAGTTTTAATTTATACTTTAATCAGATTGTATTTTTTTAATTTTGTTACATAAAACATCAGCTATCTCTCCAGATAGCATTGAGTAGTTTGTTCCTTTTTTCCCTCTTCCAAAAATCGCTATGTGTCTCAGGAACATATCAGTTCCTAGACCTATCCCAGATCATCAAAGCGTGACTCAGGACAGTAGTCACACTTTGGATATAATTTTCTTATTGGAGCAATGGCAGTATAATTGGGTGAGGAATCTGTCATCATCCCCTTTGTTATGCCCCTCACATGCCCTGGGGGCTGTGATATTTTTCAATGCTGCCCCCTCCTGCAGGGAAGCAGGACCTATTCAAATGATCTGCCCTTGGCAACTAATGGCCTTGCTTGGGTTCCAGAAGGATCTGAGGGATATCCCGGGGATTCTACTGCATGGCCCTGGGGAGGCCTTGGCTACAATCTGAAATCAAAATGACTGGGGCTCTGGACAGGTCATGCCTGTGTGCTGTCTCCTGGCCTGAAACTCTCTGAGGAATTGAGGGTTCTGAAGAGGGCCCAAAAATGATTAGAGCACCACTGGAGGAAAACTAAGAATGAACCCAACCAGACATGGATACGAGCCACAGTTAAGGTCTATCTTGTGGCAGTAAGAGTAGCAAAAACAAACTATTTCTCCAGTCTTACTATATCTGTCACCTGGCAGCCCTGCTCAAGGTTACCCAGTCCTTCTTTGGGAAGTAGGGCTCAGAATATCAGAGGATGGTGCAGAACAATTTGCCAGTCACCTAATAAATAAAATCAATTGGATCCATTCTCAGTTTGAGACCAAGCATAGAGCAGGCTCTTTGGAGATTTCTGGGAAACTGACTTGCCTGATTATCTGGGAATGGTTTAACCCTATTGGACCTGAAGAGGTGGACAGGATCCTTGCAGCTATCAGCACAACTATCTGCTTATTAAATCCTTGTCCTTCCCGGCTGGGGAGAGCTTCCAGGACAGTGCCCTATAAGTGGGTCCAGCCATGATTAATGCATCCCTGCAGGAGGGAGTGTACCTGGCACCATTTACCTTGGTACACTACCTCCTCAAGAAACTATCAGACCCAACCTGTCTGGGCAATTTTTGTCCAGTTTCTTGCCTTCCATTTCTAGGGAAGGCAGTAGAAAAAGTGGTTGCATTGCAGTTTCAGAGGGTCCTAGATGAAATGGATTATCTGGACCCCTTTCGGTCAGGTTTCAGGCTGGGTTATGGACAGAAATGGCATTGGTCACATTTGTAGATGATCTCTGGCAAGAGTGAGATGGGAATAGTGCATCTATTCTTTATCAGAATAGAGCTGGAAGGGACCTTGGAGGTCTTCTAGTCCAACCCCCGGCTCAAGCAGAGACTCGATTCCATTTCAGACAGGTTACTGTTAAGTCTTTTCTTAAAAACCTCCAGTGATGAAGCACCTAACGACTTCTGAAGGCAAGTTGTTTCCACTGGTTAATTGTTCCCACTGTTAGGAAATTTCTCTTTAATTCCAGGTTGCTTCTGTCCTTGATTAGTTTCCATCCATTGTTTCTTGGCTTTCTGATGCTTTGGACAATAATTTGACCCCCTCTTCTTTGTAGCAGCCCCTCAAATACTAGAATACTGCTGTCATGTCACTCTTAGTCCTTCTTTTCTCTAGACCAGCCATACCCAATTCTTCATATCTTTTTGTCTCCAGGTCTTTAATGATCTTAGTTGCTCTTCTCTGCACTTTTTCCAAAGACTCAACATCTTTTTTGTAATGTGACCAAAACTGGATGCAGTATTTTGATTCTATGCCTCTGTTTATACAACCAAGGATTATAATAGCTTTTTGGGCTGTTGTCTCACACTGCTGGCTCGTGTTTAAGTGATCATCTACTAGGACTCCAAGGTTTCTCACACAGTTACTGTTTTTGAGCCAGGTTTCGTCTAATCTGTACTTGTACCTTTGGTTTTTCCTGCCTAAGTGTAAAACCTTGTTTTCCTCCACATTAAATTTCATGTTGTTAGATAGGGCCCATTGTTCAAATCTGTCAAGATCTTTTTGGACCTTGAGCTTATCTTCGGCGATGTTAGCAATTCCTGCCAGCTTAGTGTCATCTGCAGATTTGATGACTTCTCCTTCTATTCCCTCATCTAAGTCATTTATGAAGATATTGAAGAGTACTGGGCCTAAGATGGAACCTTGTGGTACCCCACTGCTTACTTTCCTCCATGTAGATGTAGTACCATTAAGGACTACTTATTGAGTATGTTTTGTTAACCATTTACAAATCCATCTGGTGGTGATGCTGTCTATCTCACATTTTTCTAGCTTACCAAGAAGTAGGTTGTGGTCTAATTTGTTGAATACCTTATTGAAGTCTAAGTATACTATGTCCACAGCATTTCCCTGGTCTACTAATTTAGTCAGTTTGTCAAATAATGAAATAAGTTTGGTTTGGCATGATCTGTTTTTAACAAACACATGCTGGCTTTTAGTTATAACTTTATTTGTTTCTAGATGTTTGCAAATCTGTGTTTTGATTATCTTTTTCAGTATCTTCCCAGGTAATGATGTTAGATTGGTTGGTCTGTAATTTCCTGGAACAGTTTTTTTTTTCTTTCTTTTTTTGAACATGGCAACCATATCAGCTCTTTTCTAATCGTCTGGTAGTTCCCCGGTGTTCCAGGTTTTTTGAAAGATATGGAACAATGGTTCTGATAATATCTTCAGGTCCCAGTGATTATATTCATCAAGGTCAGACAGTATATAGGCATTTGAGTCCTTTATGGGTCTTGGGTATGTTTCTTATATCATCTATTTTGTAACTGAGATTTCCATCCTTCCCATCACTCTCTACTACATTAGTTTTTTCTCCTTCCTTCCTTCCTTCCTTCCTTCCTTCCTTCCTTCCTTCCTTCCTTCCTTCCTTCCTTCCTTCCTTCCTTCCTTCCTTCCTTTTTACTCCCTACCTCCTTATATGATTGGTTATTTAGTGGTTTTTATTTGGAATTAGGTTCTAAAGGTTGTGCAGATTGTCTCTCCTCCCCCTTCAGTTTTAGTTTAAAGCCCTTTTGATAAGAAGAGCCAGTAGTTTTCCAAATATTCCAAATATTCTTTCCAGTTCTTGTGTAGTCCATCCCTTGCCAGTAGCCCTTTATATGGGTAATGCAGATGGTGGTCCCGGAAGCTGAAGTTCTGTTGATGACACCAGTTTTTATGCCAGTGGTTTGTTTCTAAAACCTTTGATCCTTCATTGGATATTGGCTTTTTGTTGGAAGTATAGATGAAATTACCACTTGTGCTCCTAATTTTTAACTTTCTTCCCTAGCTGTTCATGATCTCTTATTATTGTTATCAGATTCATTGTTGTATCCTTGCTCTTGTTGATCTCTTTAACAGTTTTCAATATCATTGACTGTAATATCCTTTTGGGCCAACTGCAGGGTTTGGGGCTGGGTAGTATAATATTCCACTGGATCCCCAGGGCCAGCCTAATTGGCATTGATAAAAGATGAGATATCCAGCCTGTGGCCACTCCTTTCTGTGGTGCCACAAGGCTCAGCACTCTCTTCACAGCACTCTCTCCACTCCTTTTTGACATCTACATGAAACTGCTGGGTGAGAACATCCAACACCCTGGGAGGAGATGATACACAGCTTTACATCTTCATCCCAGTGAGCCAAGTGGTGCTGTGGCTTCTTTTTCTCAGTGCCTGAAGGCTGTAGAAGTCTGGATAGGGGACAACAGGCTTCAGCTGAACCCTGGCAAGATAGAATGCCTGTGGGTTCAAGGGACCTTAAAATCCAGTTGTTTATCATCTTTAGTTCTGGATGGGCTTACACTACCCCAGATAGTTCTCGTGCACAGTCTGTGGATTTTCCTGGACTCACATCTGCTGCTCTAAGAGGGGTGGCAGTTTAGCCAAGAGAGACTTTGCACAACTTCATCTTATGCACCAGTTGCACCGTTATCTAGATTGTGAGGCCCTGTGCATGTCCTAATCATCTCTTGGTTGGATTTTACAGCAATCTGCTCTACAAAGGGCTATCCTAGAAGAGGATTTGAAAACTACAGCTAGTGCAGAATGAAATGACATGCACATTTCTGGGGGGCTCTAGGGAGACACACACAACGCCATTGTTGCACAAGCTGCATTGGTTATCAGTTTGCTTTCAGGTCCAGGGTATATGTAGAGCTGTTTCACCCCAATGGGAATAACCTATCTATTTGTGCCAGCAGAAAAAGCCCTTTTGGCTTTCTGGAAGGGTATTAAAACTTTATTATTAAAACTCCTCCCAGGGTGTTGGATGTTCTCACCCAGCAGTTTCATGTAGATGTTAAAAAGGAGTGGAGAGAGTGCTGTGGAGAGAGTGCCGAGCCTTGTGGTACCACAGAAAGGAGTGGCCATAGGCTGGACATCTCATCTTCTATCAACGCCAATAGTTGGCTAGAGGTCCGAGAGAGCCATTTACCACTGGAGGTGGCTGACAGAATAAAAAGACTTCATCCCTGTGCCCTCTGTCTCCTTGATTCTATTTCATCGCGTAGTTTTTTTAAAAAAATGTGCAGTTTTAAATTTTAATTGTTTTTCTATTTATCTTTTTATGATATGGGGACATGACTGGCAAAATAAATAAATAATCAATCAATCAAACAATATTCCTTTATGTCAACCAGAACTCCCATATTTCTTTTTAAATTGCTTGTTCATAAAACTCAGTAAGAATAATTCTGGTTTCATAATGATATTAGACTGTAATATCTTTTGCATTGTTGTATGAATTTGTACCTTTGTTTTTGCTTTTTCCCAATACATGTTAATAAGTCCACTCTTCCTTTTCACATTTCCAGTCCTTATTTGACATTCCTTTATAAATTTTAGACAATTTAACCAATGTCATATATCTACATTATTTTATATGTAAATTCTTCTATGTTTTCTGGAGTTTTTTATGGTTTAAAATCTTAAGTGTCAAAGTTTGATTATACCGAGATGTCCTTTTTGTCTTTCTTGTCCCTTATTATTATAATTAAATATGAAAATATGCAATTTTGATCTATTATTGAAAGATGTTAGGATACTTAATTCAGGCATTTTTGTTTGAGTACAGATCATTCTAGACTTACAGTCATTCACTGAATAACCAAAGTTACAATGCAACTGAAAAAAGTCCTTATATCTGGTCCTCACACTTACGACCCTTGCAGGGTTCCTGCAGCCACATGATAAACATTCAGGTGCTTAACAACCAGCATGGTAATTATGGTGGTTGCAGCATCCTGGGATCACATGATGGCCATTTGCAACTTTCCTTGGCTGACTTCTGACAGTGGGAGAAGACAGATTCACTTAATGACTGTTCATTTATTTAACTACCATGGTGATTTGCTTAACTACTGTGACAAAAATATTAAAATAGGGCATGACTCACTTAATGATCACATTGTTTAGCAATAGTAATTCTGGTCCCAGTTGTGGTTGTAAGTCGAGGACTACCTACATTTTAGCCAAATTACTGTCTATGAAAATGAAGGCTGAATGTCAAATGTCAAGGCAGAGATTCAAGCCCAGAGAGGTTTTTTTATAATGAACACCACGGTTATAGTCAAATAGATGTAGCCAGTGCCTCTTCTAAACCTCTGCTAATAACATGCTTCTTTTTTGAATATATTAAAGGAATGACTCATAGCATTTTATAGCTGCAGTTTTTGAATAGATTTCACTGTGCTACCCCATATAGTTCTTTCCTTCTGTTTACTGATGATCATTGTCATATCTTTGTACTGTGTTACTTTGTATTATAGCAGTGTTATAAAATACCTGGGAGAACTTTTAGAAAAAGAGAAATATTGTATTATCTTTTTATTGTCCTTCAATTCACAATACTGTTTGAAGATTTCTGCTTTTATTTTAAGATTAAATTCTTGAAAGGCTTTATTCACTCTGATTTTAGCCACTTGTTATGTTAACTGGATTAATTTAATTCTTTCTTTACCAAATGAATATGAGTGGTGCACATGCAAATTTCAAAAATCTTTTAAAAATATTGTTTAGTGGTCTGAATTTAGCTCCGGTTGCAAGATTACGAACCACATGGGAGAAACTTCCAAGCAAATACGAGAAATTGTTTCAAGATCTTCAGGACTTGTTTGATCCATCTAGAAACATGGCAAAATACCGCAATGTCTTGAATAGTCAAAATCTACAACCTCCCGTTATTCCATTGTTCCCTGTAATAAAAAAGGATCTTACTTTTCTTCACGAAGGTAAGTTAAAATTACATCGGGTACTTACCATGTGTTCAGCAGTCTGCTGAAATGTGTCAATTGTTTTTGCAACAAATGGAAAAAAGAATAGTTCTTTGCCATTAATTATTTTGTAATATAGGAAATGATTCCAAAGTGGAAGGATTGGTCAATTTTGAGAAACTAAGAATGATTGCAAAAGAGATCCGCCACGTGGGCCGAATGGCTTCCGTTAATATGGATCCTGCTTTAATGTTCAGGACTCGGTGAGTATTCTGATGAACAGAAAATCAGTTAAAATATGTAATAAACAGTTTACTATATAATAAGAGGCAGGCATACTGTACTGTAAGCTAATTAACTAGTATGTTAATTTACTTAACTAATAAGCATGTAGAATTGGAAATGACATCAAGAATTAGAAAAGCTATCATATTATTTCTTAGATAGTTGCATTTTTTACATAATCATGCATTCTTGTATTTATCAATATAAAATAAGCAATGGTCCTTTTAGCATTTTTAAGTAATGTACTTGCCCTTTTGAGGTTCACATCAGACTCCTTAATCCAACATGATCCGTAAGCATTGTACATAATAGTTCAGCTCTCACTATTTAGAGATTAATATTCAGATTTTGCTTTTCCACTGATTTTTTCCTATGGTTCTCTCATTATGACAACTTCAACACAAGCACTGAGATTGTTGTATTACTATGACAAATTTTCTAACAATTTGGATGAAATTCTACATATGTTTATTTAGGAAAATTAGATGATTCTATTGACACAATTCAGTGCAAACAATCTTCAGAAGTTATAATCTATATAGTTGATGTATTCCATGTGAAATCATTTATCATTTTCAGTGGGTTAGATGTAGGCGCAATTCAGAAATAGTATTATAGTGGGGAAAGGAATGGGATAAAGTACCTGAGCAATTTACTCACTGGAGACTGGAGAAGGGCCTAATGCTGGGAAAGATTGAGGGCAATAGAAGAAGGGGACGACAGAGAATGAGATGGCTGGATGGAGTCACTGAAGCAGTAGGTGTGAACTTAAATGGACTCCAGAAGATGGTAGAGGGCAGGAAGACCTGGAGGAACATTGTCCATGGGGTCACGATGGGTCGGACATGACTTCGCAATTAACAACAACCTGAGCAATTTACAGAAAAGAGAAGAGAAAGAAGAGAAAAAAAATAAAAAAATCCTCCTGATTATTAAGAAAGCACCATCAATTGTGCTTCAGATTTAGTTGTTTATTATAATCATACTTTATGATTATTTAAGAAGAGGGCAAAAAAGAGAAGAAAAGAAAAATAAAACAATCCAAGGACCTTGTGCTATAAGATTGAATTTGCTGTTGACTAGTTTTAACTATATCCCGCTTGAGTTTTTTATTAAAATTTTTGAATTAAAATATCATGATGAACCATGGGTGATCAAAATGCCACTACTACAGTATATCCATGTATGAGTTTTAAAGTAATTTAATAAAAGAATACTCATCATTGATATATACAAAGATGACTGTCCATACAGGTTCAATTTTTTGTATGTTCTGAGCAAGAAAAGAGAGCAGACAATCTTATTAACATTCTTGATTAAAAATAATAAAAGACTGTCAAATAGCAGGGTATAATAAATTACTATCTTACTTATCTTTTTATCAAGCAAGATGAACAGAGGAATAAATAGTGTCATACAACATAAATCTCTTTCGTTTGATTTCATAAAAGTCTTTCAAATTGTTAGTGCTATCTTGCCCAGAAAGGCAAGGAAATGTGAACTACTGTTAAATAGGAATCACAAAATTTATTTTCCAATGAAAAACTATCCAACATTTTGAATCAGGTTTTATTGCTTTGTTGTATGACAATTGGTGTTCCTTCTGTAGGGAGATTCAAAGCACATTCAGAACCAACATGGCCCTATCGGCTCCAAAGATATATAATTATTAATTGTTTTGAAAAAGTGCCTGAGAGAAGGTTATTCTGAGATGTCTGTTACAGCTTGTCCTGAAGTCTGACTCTTTTCTTCTGAGCTTATAATCTTTCTCTGTCTCTTCCTTAAATCCATGCTTCAATATTCATGGCTCTCACTTGCAGGAAGAAGAAATGGAGGAGTCTGGGGTAAGTGGCTGGAGAGAACAATACAGGCAGCCATTCCTTTCTTGAACATCTGCATTGTACTTTTCTTGCTTCTCTTAATTTTCTGATGCCTTAGCACTTTTTCCTTTCTGATAACACTTTTTTACTTACATCAAATTTAATCCTAGTGCTTCTTTTGCTTGAGGTCATAAATATAAGAGCTGTGAAACTTTACAAGTCATGAGACACTTTGGCTAGATTTAGCAGTCTCATTTAATGGGATTTATGTTCCAAAATTGGGTTGTGTAATGGTGATTCAGGTATATCAGAAATAAATTTAGATGTGTCTCATTATATATATATAATTATATTTAAAATAAAGTGCTTTTTACAGCTCAACTAACTAAATTATCTTTCTACAAATCGGTCTTCATTCAAACCAAACTTCATTTTTGTTGTTAACGACTTAGATATAACTCCAATAGAGAAAAACATCCAAACCTGCATGTTGTTTCCTTATTAACTAATAAGAGTCTTTATTATATAACAAGAAGTTCATTTCAACTGGGGAAAACAAAAGAGGAGAGAGATTTGTTACAGTTTTTGCAACAAATTAGATGTTTTAATAAATATACTTCCAAATATACATCTTTTTAAAAAAGTATCTGACATTAAGGTTCAGTGAAATTTGATCCCTGTTTACTCACTAGGAACATTTTATTATTAGTACTGCTTTTGAAGTAGACTACCGTGAAGAGTTAGTATGGATCATTTTCCTAATGAATAGAATTACATTATTTTTTATTTTGGGCAGAGTAGGTATTATAGATGTATTTTAATGAAGATATGCACAGACTTATACCTAAAATGTGATTTTAAAAGCCTTGATTTTTATCCTTTATTTTAGTTGTATGACTTACCTGAATGAGGCATGTGAGCTTTGACCATAGACTGACTTCATGCAGATCTTTGCATGTTTATAGTTCTTTAAAGGATTTAGCAAGGAGCTCAGTTTCAGACTTACCATCTTCCTTTACCCTAGATCTCTTAGCCAAGGCAGTACAAACACAGCAGTACTTGATGTTGCACAGACAGGTGGACACAAAAAACGGGTGCGTCGCAGCTCATTTCTTAATGCCAAAAAGCTATATGAAGATGCCCAGATGGCTCGAAAAGTCAAACAGTATCTTGCTAATCTAGACTTGGAAATGGATGAAGAAAGTCTCCAGGCACTGTCTTTGCAGTGTGAACCAGCCAGCAATACACGTAAGTGTTGTTTTTTGTTCTCTTTTACTATCCCAAATGACAGGGATATGAAGTAAGTTTAAAATGAAAATTATAGTATCCTGAATCATGTTCCTCTGTACCCTAATAGCTATGAGGGTATATATGAACTGCACCCAAGTGAACTTATACTAATAGTAGTTTTATTTTGGCATTAAGTTCAGGCATTTGGGTTTTATTGATTAAAATAATTTGTTTGTTTATAATTTTGTTAATTTCTTAATTTAATCTAATTTTTACTAAGGTATATGAGTTTATGGGAGGTTACAAATAAGAAATAAATGAAAATAAATTTAAATATTTTTTTGCCATGTAAGTAAGAAAAATCTTTATGATTAGGCTGTTTGCATTAGCAAACTGGTTACTACCGTATATACCAATGCAGATTGTACTTTCACTTTCTTATACTTTTGTTTCTAATAATGTTTTCAAGCCTTAAACTATGTAAATAATTTCATTACTCTTTATTATAATGTCATATTTTTTAATGATATTGCCTTTCAGTTGAATAAGGAATATTTTAGAATTGAGGACAGATTATATTTTATTTTTCTAAACCATTTGTCATTAAACTCAATTCAAAATTGAAAGATTCTAACAGAATCAATTATCATCTTAATCTATGTCATGCTATGTTTTTCGCTTAAGTACCCAAAACTCCAGGGGAAAAACGGTCTGGAAAATCTGAAACATCTCCTGTCACACATCGGTCAGGGATGCAGCAGAAGACTCAGCAGCAACAACAGCCCAAGGCAAACCAGGTTTTACAGGTTCCTGCTGTATCACTTTATCCTTCTCGTAAGAAAGTACCAGTAAAAGATCTCCCACCATTTGGTAAGTTCTACAAAGAATTTTGTTCTGGAGGAAAGCAAATTCTCACAAAAAATTCAATAATTTTACAAATAATATTTATATTATCTATATTATATTTATATGTAATGTTTATTAAGAATTTTGATAATAATAGTAAAATCTAATACAAGCTAAACTTAAAGAAAAGAGAATAGAGAGGAGGAAAAAGAATAAGAAAAAAGAGAAGAAAAATAAGAATAAGACCATGATAAAGAAAAAGAAAATTATATAAAGAAGTGATTTCAAACCTTCATCACAAGTATAAACATATTTACTAAGTTTTCACCTTTTAAAGTTACAAATATTTTTGCTTCTTTCCATATCTCATCTCTTATCTATAAGAGATTCATAAATAGCAGCAGCTTTTCAGTCCTCATGTAAGCAAAAAGTCCATAAAGGGTAAACAGAATTAACAACATATCTTATATTCAGCTTTATATTCCTTCCATTTAATTCTTGCATCTTAATCTTTATTTTATTCAAATATTGTTATAGCATTTTATTTTTCTTTATTTCTTTTTCATCCCATCACATAGAGTTCTTCAAGGTTTTAACAAGTCTCTTTTGTTTAATCCAGTAGGAAAATACTATCCTGGTCACTTTCTTTGTTTGTCATTTGTATTTCTCTTTTTAAAAACTGAAATGTATTTTTCCAAATTAGTCTCTTGGACTCTCAGTTTTAAATCTACTTTCAGTACTATATCTTGTCAGACAAAGTTTGTTCTGCATCTCACATTTTTTCAATAACATCTTTTGGACATTGTCTGTCCATAAAAGTAGACATCATTACTGATATTGTTGATATTATGACTACTGTTTTCTGATTCCATTCTTCAAAAGGTGGGGGTTTTTTTTGAGCATTTTTATGGTTACCTAAAATTTTTAATCTCCTCAAGGGCCCAGTTTTTGAAATCATAATATTCTTTATGCATGTTATGTCTTGTAACAACCAAAACAGGATCTATTTTCCACAAGAAGCTGTTTATATTTTATAATTAATTCCAAAATTTTATTGTAAATGTTTCACTATTCCAATTTTATCTGGACCCTTAGTCTTTTTATATTTTTCTAGGATAAAATCTTATTTAGCTTTTTGGTATGTCTTTCATATTTTTTAAAAAAATTAAGTTTTTGACTAAAATCTAAACTTTTTTTTTTTGTTCATGATTAAAAGCAGACTCGTAAAGCATTTTTAAACTTGTCACTTCAAAGGTCTGTAATAGTAGTTGATGAGCAATTTCCAAAAGTGATTAGAACACAAGATGTGAACTTAATGTCTTTTAAGTCTCCACTGTGGTTGGGAGCAATATGATTAATTACATCATCTTCTGGTGCTCAAGCCTGTGGAAAAATGCAGTCCTGCAGTCTCTTCTCTTCATGAAGAGCAACCATCCAGAGCATATTGGATGACATCTTATCCTTTCTTTACCTGGAGAGTGATTTGGTTATTATTTGCTCCACTGTTGGCGCATTCACAACTTCTAGAGGCAAGTTGTTCCACTGATTAATTGTTCTAACTGTCAGGAAATTTTTTCTTAGTTCTAGGTTGCTTCTCTTCTTGATTAGTTTCTATCCATTGCTCCTTGTCTTGCCCTCAAGTGCTTTGGAGAATAACTTGACTCTCTCTTCTTTGTGGCAATCCCTGAGATATTGGAACACTATCATATCACGCCTAGTCCTTCTTTTCATTAAGCTAGATAGACTCAATTCCAGCAATTGTTCTTTATATGTTTTAGCTTCCAGTACCCTGATCATCTTTGTTGCTCTTCTCTGTACTCTTTTTAGAGTTTCAACATCTTTTTTACATCGTGGTGACCAAAACTGGATGCAGTATTCCAAATGTGGCCTTACCAAGGCATTATAAAGTGATATTAACATGTCACGTGATCTTGATTCTATCTCTCTGTTAATGCAGCCTAGAACTGTGTTGGCTTTTTTGGCAGCTGCCATTTCTTCTGAATCATAATAATTTATGAATTAACATGAGTTGACATTAGCAAGAGTGTCATACGCTTTGAGATTTGGGAGTCATTTTTCTGCCTCTGTGTAATTTCATGGCAGGGGGTGGTGAAGATAAATGTAAATGGATAATGAGCTATATGAAGAAATGGGAAGTTAAAATGTAATTAATGTTACATTTGAAAGGCCCATGAGGTGCCTTAATATGGACATACTGAGGAAAGTATATATGTATATCTGAAGTTTTGTTTTCCTTTTTCCCTGTAAGGCATAAATTCCCCGCAAGCTTTAAAGAAAATTCTTTCACTCTCTGAAGAAGGAAGTTTGGACCGCCATAAGAAGCAAGCAGAAGACACAATTTCAAATGCTTCTTCACAATTAACGTCTCCTCCCACCTCACCCCAGAGCTCTCCGAGAAAATGTATATTAGTGCTATCAAACATTTTAAAATTCTTACATGCTCTCTTCTCTAATCATAGTTACCTATAGTAACAGTTAACAATAACCATAATCATTAGTTGCCAAAAATATAATATGTTGCCAAAAATCCAGTAATCCATGATTTATAGTGAAGAGTCATTTGCTTCCATTATAAATTATATGCTATAAAGTCCCTTAAGGGAATCATTTTTTTCTGTGTTCTTAAATTTATATTAAAATATATGCAAAAATATGCATAAATTTATAGGCAATATTGAATACTACTTTGTCTTAAAAAAACCCCACTGCCAGTGGCTTTATGCACTCTCTTTACATTCAGTTGACTGAAAAATTTAGAAAAAAAATGCTGATTCATCTGAACAGACTTAGAGGAGTTTAATTAACTCAGCCACAGCCATATTTTATAGTCATTTCATAATCACAAATTCTATAACTTTATTTCTGGGGGTTTTTCCCCCAGAAGAGTCAGATTTCTTGACTTTTATGAGGCTGGGTAGCTAAGGCTGGGAAAATAGGTTTCTCTGTCATGACCCATATGTTGCAGAGAGATGATAAGCCCAGACACCAGAGGGCTTCTGAAAGCAACAAAACAAAGCATTTACAAAGCACTTTTTAAAGCTTCATTATGAAATAATGAATCTTTTAAATATTTTTTCTTTATTTCTTGCTTTGTCTTTCAACTGAATGGTAGTTATTTTTAATGATCATTTCTTACTGTACCATTGACATGTGTTTGTTTGTTTATGCATGCATGCATGCGTGCATGCTGTGGATGAGTTATGTTTCTTTTTGTATGTGCCAAGAATCTTATAATTGTAGAAGTATGGAAATTTAATAAGTCGTAAGATTACCTTCATTTTCAGGAATAGCATCTCTATATGTGGAGATAACTTCTCTCAAAAAACATATCAGTAAGTTCAAGGAAAGTGAATTGCTGCTGCAATTGTAACTTTGAATTTTTAAGGATAGTATAGCCAGACATGTTTATTGTATCAGAACTGATTGAAAAGTGCAAGAGTACAGTAGCAAGTATACATTATGAAGGAATCATGCCTGCCAAAAGTTATATGACTATATTCATCAGGACTGAAAAATTCATCAGGACTGAAATAAAGAACAGATTGTGCAAAGTAGGGTTTCAAACTGATAAAAAAAAGATATATTTTTCAAAAGAACACATTGCATATTATACTTCCTCCTTTTCAAATTCAGCATCTTGGAAATGAGATATTATCAATATTCCATTGTACTTTATTTGTTTTTGGAATAAGAAGACATTTGAATTTGTTCTGTTTGTTTGTAGTTTCTATATAAATTGTGGAAAGTTTTATTAAGTAATTAAACTATTCTTTCTGCAGGTTACATGCTGGCTCTTAGTGGCACAGTGGATAACTTTTCCGACTCTGGTCACAGTGAAATTTCTTCCCGATCTAGCATTGTCAGCAATTCTTCTTTTGACTCCATGTCAGGGTCTCTACAAGATGAAAGAAGACAGAGGCACTCAGTCAGCATTGTCGAGACTAATCTTGGAGTGGGCAGAATAGAAAGAAGAGCCACGGTTGAACCAGATCAGTACAGTTTAGGGTACGATGTTCATGTTTTATATTTATTTAAGACTTCTATGTGATGTTTATTTATTTACTCTGCTCCTTGAATCAGGTTTTGAATACATAAGTTGCTATAAAACTTCAACAATTTTGCCTCTTGATGACTTAGAAACTATAAAAAATATAAGACTAAACCTGTAGGATCTATAAGATTAAATCTATAAGATCTGTAATATAGATCAATTGTCAGGTATAAACAACCAGACCCATACATGTGAGAGTTCAAACTTGCTACTTTATTGCTCACAGGAATCAGTTTTTGTCTAGAAAAGATTAGATAAGGCTCATAGGTATGGGGGTTTGTCAGACCTTGCCCTCTTGTGTTTACTTAACAAGTCCAGACTAATTCCACCCTTGAGTCCTCCTCTCTGCTGCACTTTTAGATTCAATATCTAAAAGATTTTCCAAAGCAGATCAGCACATAAATAATAGAGAGGTCATTTGGGCAATGGTTGAAGCAGCTTTGTCTTTTCCTGGGTCATAAAAACTAAAAACTGTGTGTGTGTGTGTGTGTGTACTAATGCATCTATTTCTCTGTCTATCACCATACTACATATGTTTCTATGATCTGTTCTGTTGCTAGATTTGAATATATTCTTGTTTATTTATTTCATTTATATTCTTATTCTCTGAAAGGAAAAAAAATAGAAAAATACATGTTGAAAACCCAACCTTGTCTTACTTGAAATAGCACTGATTATGATAGATTTAGCTGCATGTATTTGAACATTACAGATAGTCTTCAACTTATGACCACAACTGAGCCCAACATTTCCCTTGCTGATCAAGGCAACTGTTCAGTGAATTTTGCCCCATTTTATGACCATTTTTGCCAGGATGGTTAAGCGAATCAGTTCAGTTGTTAAGTGAATCATGCGGTCATTAAGTAAATCTGGCTTGCCCCATTGACTTTGCTTATTGGAAGCCATCTGGCAAGGTTACAAATGGTACTCACAAGACCCTAGGCCAATGTAACTGTCATAAATACATCCCAATTGCCAAGTGTCCAAATTTTGATCATGTGTCCATGGGAATGCTGCAGTGGTTGTAAGGGTGAAAAGTCAACTTTTTCAGTACTTATAACTCTGAATGGTCACTAAATGAATAGTTGTGAGAAGACTACCTGTATATGTAATGATTAAAATGCTTTGTATAATTTGTATAATTTTTAATGTATTCAAGGGAACAAAAAGTATACAATTTGTCTTCTACTGTACCAGTTTCTATTGGCTACATCCAGTAGTGGGATTCAAATATGTGAACAACCAATTTTCTATGTGGATGCCACTTCCAGAAGTCCATTCTGGGCCTGGGCAACAAAAAATTAGCTACCGGTTCTGCTAAAGTGGTGTGAAACAGCTGAATCCCACCACTGGTTACATCATTGTGTTACGTTATAGTGACTAATGATTTCGTTGCTATGCATTTTTAGCTCCTATGCAGAAAACAGAGGGTTCTATGCTGCAGCAACCATGCTTTCTTCTCCCAGTACGGAGGAACTATCACAGGATCAGGGTGATCGAGCGTCACTTGATGCAGCAGATAGTGGACGAGGCAGTTGGACTTCTTGCTCAAGTGGTTCCCATGACAACATACAGACAATTCAACATCAGCGAAGTTGGGAAACTCTGCCTTTTGGACATGTTCATTTCGATAATTCAGGCGATGGGGCAGGATTGTGGGCCTCAGGCAGTCACATGGACCCATTGATGTTCTCCGATCATGGCACAAAGTATGGCAGGCAGAGTCAAGGTAGGGAGGGCCTTGATCAAGCACAGTCCAGAGCAAGCTGGGCATCCTCCACAGGATACTGGGGAGAGGACTCTGAAGGTGATACAGGTACCATAAAACGGAGGGGTGGGAAAGATGTATCAATTGAAGCTGAATCCAGTAGCATAACATCCATAACAACAGAGGATTCAAAGCCGGTTCCTATGCCAGCTCATATAACTATGCCAACAAGTAATACAAAGGGTCTTATTGGTAAGTTTAATTTTGTTTTCCACAAACTATCCTACATATTTGTTGTTAGTTTATTTTATAGATATTTTTCTTTAGCCTTTTAAAAATGTAACAAGAGGTTAACCTTTATCTCATATTTTCTTTTTTCCATGAAACCATTTGCACTGTGAAAAGTAATGCTTTCTGATGCAGATACTGGTTTTGTCATTGTCGTCATAATCATCATCATGTTACTAAAGCCGAATCTTTAAAATCATTTGCACAAAGCAGTACGCACATGTAAAGATTATTTGAATAAACATAAGAGTTATGGAAAAGATGAATTTCCTATGCACAGTTGCTGCTTCCCCACCCAGCCCATGCTCTAGCCCAGTGGTTCTTAACCTGGGCGATATTGCCCCCCAGGGGGCGATTTTATTTTTTAGGGGGGCGATGGAATGAAAAGGGGTGACACGGGGGCAAAGGAATGAAAAGGGGTGAGATGGGGGCGATGGAGCGAGATGATTTGGGGACACTTTTGAGACTTTTTCGTACAGTGAATCGCTGTATATCTGTCGTACAAAAACATCAGATCACTCGCTGTTAGTGGATTGAATTGTGTTTTCAAATGTTCCTCCAGCTAGCTTCAGTACAGAACGCCGTACATATGTGAATATGCATCGCTTATCTTCATGCGCGTTGCACAGTAGCCTCTACCCATACAGTGGCACGCCATTGGCCAGAATATTTATTTATTTATTTATTTATTTATTTATTTATTTATTTATTTATTTATTTATTTATGAGACTTATATACCACTTTAAGTGCAAGCACTCTCTAAGCGTTGTACACCAGTAAGCAATGTATATATATATTTACATTGCCCCCAACAATCTGGGTCCTCATTTTACCTACCCCGGAAGGATGGAAGGCTGAGTCAACCTTGAGCCGGTGAGATTTGAACTGCTGACCTGCTGAACACAGTCAGCTAAAGTGGCCTGCAGTACTGCACTCTAACTGCTGTGCCACCTCGGGAGATATGGGAAAAAGACTGGAAATAAATTATTTGCATCGATATGTCCTGATGACAATTTGAAAGAAAACAAAACAAGTGTTTGCATAAATTGAAGAATTATTTCCTGTGTTGTGATTGAGAGGTTATGTTGGGGGAGGGGGGCGATGACAACTTCCTCATTGGCTCAAGGGGGCGATTCGTTCAAAAAGGTTAAGAACCACTGCTCTAGCCTATAGCTTCTACCTAAGCTCACCTTCACCATCAGTTTCCCCCAACTCTAAAAGCAATTCTGGTTGAGTATTACAGCAATTGAAGTCCAAAACTTCTGGAAATTAATGTAGAATGCTGTCATGAAGGACTCAAAGCAATAACTGATCATATACCTTAGCATCATAATGGTTTAGTAATTACACAGCATCCAAAGTTGTCGTAGTGACCCATTTAAATCAAATTTATTTGAGAACAGGAAGTATTACTCTCATTCTGAGTAGACTGACAATTTCACTTGACTATGTGGACATACAATTAAACCAGATCAGCATTTGGCTGACTGGAATATTTGGAATTTGGAAACCATGTTGATGTTCTCATAAAATGACTGATGGAGGGGGGGGAGAACGGGACTTACCTTTTAACAAAATAGTGAGTTACTAAGCACCACAATGTTTCCTTGTAAATTTTGTCCTTTTTCTAACAATTGAGCTCATTTGCAAATGAAGCACTGGCCCATCAGTTTATTGTCTAAGAAAGGTTATGGGTCTTAGAAACAGAAATGATGCTAGAAGTCCTTTGCAATATGGCAGTTTCCCCCACCTATACACACACATTTTTTTTTAATGCTAAAAAAATTGGGGAGTTTGGAATGTGCCAAAGCAGAACCTACAATGAGGTCCGATAATTGCATTGCTAATTTTGTCTGAATTGATTGATTTCCCCCTCCTCACAAAAGGACTTAGGTTGTCTTTTTGCTTATCCAGATACTAATTAAATTTGCATTCTATGCCAATTCAAATATTTATCACATTTACTTTGTGCATTTGAAGAAATTGTTTTTGGAAAAAAACCACTTCAGATGTTTAGTGAATTGAAAAATAAAAACAATAATTTTACTGGAAGAGTGCTTCAAATTATACACTTCATTTGTTTTAATATTATTAACTTGATTTTACTGATTTTACTGAACTATGCTGAAAAATGTAGGCAAAACATGAATCTTGTTATAATGAGGAAACTATATAAACATTTAAAACCATTTACTTTGCAAATTGGTTTAGTATTATTTGACTTTTTTGCTAAACAATTAAACTCTAAGGATACATTATACTGTATTACATAGAGTCCTTCTAGTAGCTATATTTTTATAGTACTAAAGTCATAAGACATCTTTTCCAGAGGTCACCATTCCTTTGTGAATTCCCTTTATGAGTGCTTTCTAAAATGGTTTTAAATCTTCACTTCTGGTCAGTTGCTATTTTGTCTTTTCTGTAGCTTTGTTAAAGTGTTTCTATTTGTGACTTATAAATAAGACATACACATTAAAATGTCTACACCTGCAAAATTAAGTCAAATTAAACAGTTTTGTATGATATTTGTTTGATAGAAAAGTTTTAAGCCCATGATGAACTCCCCATTAGAATCAATAAAATTGAAAACATAACTGCCTTTTGACTGGCTCATGTAAACATCATATCACATTTTGAAAATCATAAAAAGGTTAGGGCATTAGAGGAGATGGTGCAAATCCACAAAAGACTGACTTTTAGTGGCTTTTTAAATGCTTTGTCGTTATGATGCATATGATGGTTTGCAAGACATTGCACATAACCTAATTCAGAGTCAATATCAGTATGTATTATGAATTAAACAAATATTTGTAAATTATTGCTAATAGTGTATTATTTTACTGCAGCTCGAAAAGAGGGTCGCTATCGTGAACCACCACCAACCCCTCCGGGTTATGTAGGAATACCTATTGACTTTGGAGAAGGAATTTCTCATCCAGTCCGAAAACCTCCAGATTACAACGTAGCACTTCAGAGGTCTAGGATGGTGGCACGGTCTAATGAAGCCCCTGGGACTTCAGCTTCACCTTCACAGCAGCAATCACAGGGTCATTCCTCTATCAGGCCTGTTAACAAACCTCAGTGGCATAAACCAAACGAGTCAGACCCACATCTTGGTCATTATCAATCTCAAGGGTTTTCCACAGAGGAGGATGGTAAACATCTTATCACATTTTGAAAATCATAAAAGGATAATTTCGCAAAGGGCATTAGAAGGGATGGTGCAAATCTATAAAAAAAAAAAATGACTCAGGCTCTGACATTAAAACTTCTCAGTTTGTTGCCTGAATATGTTTATGAAGGAAAAGATCATAGGACATTAACTGTTTGGCAGATATGCTAGGTTTCTCCCAAGCCTTTGTGAAAGGCTGAAAGCTCATACCACATGCTCATAATTGTTTAAATGAAATAATTTTTTGTTGAAAAAGAGCTTCTCTGAACAGAATGTTGAAAACATTTTTAAATACATTGTTTTGTATACAAAACAATGCTGAAGAAACTGTGGCCTTGATGTTGCTCCACAATACTAGCTGAATATGATCAAATTCCAGTAAAGTCCCTCAGGCCAGTTATAAAGGTGTACTTCAGTGTAATATATAATTCAGGATTATAAATAAATGGAACCAAATTCAAGAATACCAAATATATGCCAGTTTGATGTAGCAGTTAAAGGCTGTGGGCTAGAGACCATGAGTTCTAGTCCTAAGGCCAGCAGGGAGAGTTTGGGCCAGACACTCTGTTTTAGCACTAGGAAGAAGGCAATGGCAAGCCACTTCTGAAAAATGCATGTATTCACTAGAAGACCAGAAGTTTTAAGTATCTTTATCTTTATTTCCCTTCTGTCATGTTGTATTTGCAGAAGATGAGCAAGTCTCTGCTGTCTAAGAATTGGAGCTTTCGGGATTACAAGTAAGCCAACTTTAAGGAGAGCACAAGATGACATCCCTAATATAGGAGCCTTGGAACATTAATTAAAGGATGGTGGACCTGTGCCTCCTTCCCTGCCTTAAAGCAGCATGGGCTTCTTCTCCCCTTCTTCCCCCCACCCTTCTCCCTTTGCATGTGAAATACTGTGAAGAAATTGCCCTGGCACTTTTCAAACTGTGTTGCTTGAAATGCGCAGTGCAGCATCCTCTCAGCTATCACTGTTGCTGTCTACCACATCACACAGTATCATTCCAAAATCAACTCGTAACTCTGACTGCACTCTCCCATGCCTGGAAGCATTTTAAATTCTTTTTCCTATCTTAATCCTGATCCTAGCACTTCACTTGATTGTGATGAAGAGATCAACTAGTGGACAAATATATTTGGCCTTTATTAAGAAAGAAATGTATTGAAATCCTTCAAGTACACAGTGCTTGTTTCTTGTTTACAATGCCTTTGTTGCTACTCTCTCTATATATTGTATTTGGAGAGGGATAAAAGGTTACACCTGCATTAACTACAGTATTATTTTGTATTATTTAAGAAAGTTTGCTAGCCTGGACTACTTTAAAAAAAAAAAAAGTGATGATGTGGTTAACTAAAAGTGGCTTGGTTTATAGGAAGGATTCAGCCTTTCAAGCTTTGTTTTTAGTGTTCCACTCAAAGCACAGTTGATTAATTTCAGAATTTCTGGTTTTGTTGCTTTGTATCTCTAATGATGTGGTTCTATTGACTCTTGCAAATAATCTGTGAAGAAAGTTAGTGTCCTTTTCCTGTGCCTTAAGGAATACAGGATGGTAAGTAAAAATATTTGTCTTCAATTGTCAAATGGCAATATCTTCTTTTGCTTAAAATACTTACATGATTTTTCCATCCTCCTCCTTGTACTAAGTAATGGGATTTTGTCACACAAATAATCAGGGTAATGTATTAAGGCAATTCAGCACACACTGCAACCAGTGCCAATCTCAAACTGTGTTGCTATTGGCTTGGCATTAGAAAATAGTGAACCTTTTGAAGAAAGTAGGTGTCACTCAGCAAGCTTTTCCAGTGAACAATTATTCATAATTGTCTTTTACAGAACATTGCATATATAGAGGAGGCCAGTGGGTATCAATCACCTGCTTACAGCTGCTATGAACCCTTTAGTGTTGGAAATGAAAATCCACCCCCTTTCTATTTTCTGTTGTTATTTTGGTTTTGCACAGACTCCAGAAAAGTGAAGGCTGCCAATCCGAGTAGTACTCAAATGTGAGGAACTGCTGTTCTTGGATTTTTTTTTCATTAAATTCAGCTGATCATATTGATCAGTAGATAAAAGTAAATAGTATCAACTTATAAAGATCAATTTACAGTGGTTTTTCACTGTATTGAACAATGTCAGTGCTTTATTTAATCGCTTTCTTCTATAATCATAGCTCTTCTCTATTTGCTTATATATCACCTTGTCAATTATGCATTTGTAATTTTACATGTAATATGCATTTGCCAGTTTCATTATATAGGCTATGGACCTCATGTGCATATAGCAAAACAGAACAAACCTAGCTGTCTCACAAGTTGCACAAATGTTATATAGGAATTAAGTAATTGTAGACCATAGGACTGCTAATCTCAATTCACTCTGTGATGTCAAGTGCAGAATGTACGACTTACTGGTGATTTCCTCATACTTTTGATACTACTTGTACCTGTATGTCTTTTAGAAAGACATTGGTGGAGTCTGTATCCCTTTTGTATTTTTAATACAATAATTGTACATATTGGTTATATATTTTTGTTGAAAATGGTAGAAATGTACTATGTTTATGCTTCTATCCAGTTTGTATGAAGCTGGAATATAAATAAATATAATGTTAATGATGTCTCATTTGTTTTGTGCTCATTTGCTTGGGGAGACAGCTAGTTATGTGCAATATTCATATGTGGGGGAGAACCATACATATAATTTTAGTTGCAGAAATTATTTGAGGAACTTTTAAGACATAAATCAAGATCCAGTAGCAGTAATATTATGGTAAAAATCATGCATGGATTGTTATGCAAAATATACAGCAAGATATAAAATATCATTTTAAGTTGGTTGATCAGTTCCTGTTTCAACCAACAGATCAACATTCTGTACATCTGAAAAAGGAAGAACAGACCCTGCACTTGCAGGAAGAATGCTAGGAAGAAAAAAATATATTTTAACCCAACTTATTTTATGAAATATTTTATGCACAAGATAAATTGCTAACTTCTATAGAAATTTATTTTACATTATGAGACTAGGTTCTATGAAATACTAATTATGAAGAGTCAAGAATTTTAGGAGATTTAAACATACAATTTGTTTTATTGTAGCATAATCTACATCTTATTGCTGTCTCTGTTCCCTGAAATCAACATCTGGATTTATTAGTGTTGTTGCTCTGTGTGTGGTCCTGCACTGTATAAACTTAAGCAGTAATTAAGTATATCCTTGTTTTATAACAAAGCAACTATGAAACAAATTTAACTCCAGTAATAAATAGTCATGTATTTTTTTATTAAAGATTGAGTTGATAGCTTTTGAAACACATTTTAACATTGAATATGCAAAAAACAAATCTCTCCCCAATATACTATAAAAATCACTTTCTGATACAAATAATATGCTACATTATTTTCTCTGTTGTGAAATGTTAGACATGGATAATTTCATTTCGATAAGGGTTACACACAGCAATATTATATAAAAGGTGTACAGAGATGAAAGTGACAAACAAATGATGCTATAATTGTTGAATAATACATTGAGCATGAGGAGATTACATTTAAATCTTTTACAAATATGCTTGAGAGTGTTAAAAAGTTTCACAATCTCTATGGAGATTCTCAGTCATCCAGGTCAGGTTTGTCCCAAAGGTTCTTTTTTAAGAGGCAACTGGACTTTGTTTTTCCTACAAAGCCCTAAAAAGAAACTCCAGTTGCCTTTTGAAAAAGCACTTTTGGGTTTCACACAGTACTTAAGTATAAATCTCCAAAAAGAAGAAAATGTCTTCTTCAGATGATAATAGCATAATGTCAAATGAATAAATGCTGTTCCTGCATATACTGTATTTATCCAAGAAAAGACCCAGAATTTATGATAATCCTCAAAAACAAGACAAAACAAGGAAAAACACATTTCATCAGAAATAGTCAAAATTTAAAGTCAGCAAAGACAAGTTCATCCATTCTTAAATCCAGTTGGTGAGGTAATGTTCCAGGGCACCCATGCTTTCATAGTTGCTGAAATGACCCTTCATGTGAACAGGACTAAATTCTGTGGTCTTTGTGTTTGGAAAGTGATAATCTACAACGGGGGCAGCAGTAGGAAAGTGCCTGACTTGTGAGTAAAGAAACACTATAACAGCCATAGGTTCAAGGATCAGCCATAAATCCTTTTTCAGCAAAACTATAACTTTGAACAGTTGCTGAACAAGCAGTAAATGAGGACTATCTGTACAGATAACATCCACCCATTTTTAAAAGTAAGAAATGTTCCATGAGTTACTTGAAGTCCAAATTCATCTTTTCTCCTTTTGATCATTTTTATAACTGCAGTCTTAAACTTTGTACATCCCTCAACCTAATTCTAAAAATATTTTGACATTAATATTTTCTTAATGTGTAAGAAAATGAAAAGAAAATCAAGTTTCAAATACAAGAATGATGTTAAAAAAGTATAGACTGCTTTAGTCTATTCTTTTTACAACATACAGCTTTAGCCTTGTCCAACGTACGTTCATACCTATTACTTGCACAACTTCTTTTGGCATCCCAGAATTTTATTTCCTCTGAGATAATGCAAAGTATCGTATTCTGCTTTTTTACTAAAGGATCAAGACAGCTGTATGTGCTTTGCAGAAAGTATTTTATAAGATGCCCTTAGTAGTTTTCACAGGAAATGGGCCAAACCACCCTGTAACAAGTGTTCAGTTTCAAAATGATTTCAATATTTTGCAGATGATTCAGGTCCAATCCAGGATCTCTTACATTATAGAAAATTGCTAGCTATCAGTCAAAACCATGCTTGATAGTTTAGCCAAGTGTTCTAATTACTGCAAGGCAACTTTATGAGTTTCTATTGTTAGGTCTAAAAAAAGTTGCCTTTCACCATTTTTGTCCCTCTGCTATAGCATTCCCCATATCTATATATCTGACAGAATGCCCCACATACTTTTCTGATACCAATGGATTCTTTTCTTATTAGCTGCTTTCCTATTAGCAAAATCAAAATAAAAAATATTTAAAATATGGTGAAAAAAGTCATTAAAATAATCTTTAACTTAACTTTTTAAAATGTAGGAGACTGAACTTGTCAACAATTGATGCAAAACTGGAACCTCCCCCTGTATTTAGTATCTTTAATCTCCTCCAGATATTTCTAAATCAATCACTTTGCTTAAAGAAGTAAATGATCTATGTTGGCAAAGCTGTCCATGCTGTTCAAAGGTGGGCAGTCCAAGGTGAAATCATTCACAAAATTCTATATAGCACAGTAGAGTGTCTTCACTATAATAGTCCATAGTCTTTTTGCCATCTTGGCTTTTGCACCAATTTGTCTTATGTACCAGTTGTGTCCATTCCTAAATTGGGAGACCTTGCTCATGGAAACTTATACCTCAGTGTGGATCCCCATAACTTACTCTACATGGGGCTGCCTTTGAAAAATACTTGGAAGCTGCAATTGGCCATGAATGCACAGATGTGGGCAGGTTTTGAGTATTTCTCATTATACCCATAATGTACCACTCTCCCACGAGTTGCTCTGGGTCCAAGTAAGTATCTAGCTGTGGTTCAAGCTGCTGGTTATCATCTACAAAGTGTTCCTAAATACTGTGGGAATCAAAATAATATGGAAAAAATAGTAATTGAAAATGGGAGTTAACTTATCTTGGTTAAGCAAGTGAATATATTGCAACTTATATATGAATTGCAAGAGTAGCTTTTGAATGGCCTTAGTAGCTGAGAAGATATTTAGTGTACCTTGATGACATACTTTCTACTGCAGAGATAGTCTCAATGTAGTACTACTGGCTTTAAATAATTAAGTTGGATTACTTTAATGTTTTATACATAAATACTAAGGCATTTCTTTTTTAAGGTACACAGAAAGGAAAAAAATAGTAAGCCAAGAAAATTCAAGACATAAGATGACAAAAAAAGGAAATCTAGCTAAAACTAGATTATATCAATGCTATTTATTAGTTGCTCCATATCTTTCTAACTTTAAATACTATTCTTGCTTCTGTGCTTTCATTATGTCCATATGCCACTTCATACATTATTGTTTTTCTGTATTTCAGGATCTTTTCAACTTCATTCCTTAATTTCTCAGCCATCCTCTTGCTGTCAGCCCATTTGTTCTTAGTATGTTTGGTTATATATGTCTGAATGTCTAGCTATTTATCCATCTATCTTATCTCCATTCTCTCTGCATGACCAAATTACCTCATTGTGTTTCTTTAATACCTGTCACTCATTTTGTATTCAGTCCACATTAATTCATCACCTATTCACATTTATCGATCTTTTACATGTTATATTACATACTTTTGTAGTATCCCATTAGTGCTATATTCCACTATATTTCTCCTTGTATAAGCATCATTTGATTCTTTATAACAAATTGGACAGAAGCACACTTCTATGCATAGCTGTTTTCTCTTTGGCAAATTTTTATCCCTCACAAACTATCTTTTCCCAATGTTTCACCTCTTTACATTTCTTCATGTATCCTCCCATGTTTAAAAAACATGCTACAAAGATATAAAAATTCAACTACATGTTCTTTTCAGCTCTTTTCATTCTCAATATATAAATTGCAACTCCACTGTCCATGTCAATCACAACTTTCATCTTTGATACCAACATCTCCAGATCCAATCTGCTATATTGTCTAGTGCTAACATTCACAAAAAAATATTCAGATGCTCAACCCATAACACAGCATAAAGAAGTATATCTTACCAACATATTTTTAATATCATCAAACCATTATTTTATTTTGTTGGGAAAACAATCTATTAAAGTTTTTCATTGGAACACATCCTATTCCTTCAGTAATTCTAGGTTGATTCAGTTGTTTTTAATTTTTTTTCAAGTTCATTTTTTAAACCTAGTATATACTCTGAGTTCTTCCCAAAAATGCTCTGTTCCATTTTCAGAGCCTCTGGTCAACCCTTTATCCTTTATTATGTTTTACAATCATTCATTATAAACAATTGGATAGACATATTTAAAAATGGTTTTTCTAAGATGATGTTCACCAATCTTAAAAAACAATCATTCATTCTTAGTTTTCTGAACGATCCATGGAAGTTTTCCATTTTCTCTTATCCATTCATTCATCCAAGCCCTTCACGCACAGAATGGAATTATTTGAGTGACCACCTCTTCACAATTTCATCTGCCCATTCTCGCCAGGTTCTCTCTCCTGGAGAGCTACATTTGGCAAGCTATAAGTGGCAGACCTCTGCTATGGCTTCTGCACTATGGAATCTTTTCTCCTCTGAAGTGAGGTCAGCTTCATCACTTTTGAATTTCTGGAGATCACTCAAGACCAGGTTATGCCAACAGGTCTGGGGTCTCCAGGGGACAGGTAAGCTAGTGAAGTGGCTCAGCTATTTTTAAAATCCTTTTATCATTGTTTGTTTTAGTCTGATTTTTATATGTTTTAATGTATTTATTAACTTTTATTTACTGTTTTTAGCTGTTTTGTAAGATAGACCGTTATATAAATTGGTTTAATAAATCAATAAATTTATATCACATGGAAGGGTATTATTTTCTCTCCTGAATTGCATTAATTCAGAATATTTTCCATAATTGATATTTTGTTCTTCTACTATCACTTATTAC